GCTGCTCAGTACCCAACATACCATAAATAATTCGTCCGACTAACAGACGACATCCGCTAATTTCACAATCTCACAAATCCTCTACTAATGTATCGAGAGAAGCACAGGCTGAGTAGCGAGGAGGAAGAACAATATTGTCAGCGACTTCCTTCTCCGTTATCAGGTCAACTAATGTCACCATGATATTCTGGGATAGAGAGATAAAACAAGGTCCTCCTCGGTGAGTGTATCCAAGTAGCACATGATAGAATCTAAGGGCGAGGCTCTGTAGGTAACAAAAGTTAAAGACTTGGGGGCGCCTGTTATCTCTCAAGTGTACGGGACAAGTATCACCGACGTCGATAATAACTCAAGCTGTGCCTTCGCACCCGTGGTTTTTCGGAAAGAGTGGAATTCCGAACAAGTGAGAAGTGCCCCCGGTCCATCAAGACAGGTTCAGCTCACGTAATGTCTAAAAGGTAACCAAGGAGGCAATCAATATCAATGTGATAACAATCACGGGCAGCCTACGGCAATTGCAGCAGCGTCCAGATCCAAGGATAAGCGAGCTACAAGCAAACACGACTCCAATGACCTTTGGTTAAAAGCCATCAAGTATCATGATTCGGGTGCCAAAGTACGATGAAACCAGTTAGTATAGCCGGTGAGCCATTATGATGATGGTTTATAGCAGCGGTGGAAGTAGACAAGAAACAAACATGCTGTCAAAATGCAGAGATAAGAGCGTCAATAGTACGCAACCATTTGCTGCGAATGCTCCGTTGTTATGCAACCGTAAACGGCTGTACGCTGGTCAGGGTACTGTAAGGGCGTCCAAATCGATACAGAGAATGGGGCACAGTTTCAGACTAAAAGCAACACGGAAAGGTCAAAGCATGGACGTAATGTAGCAGTCCCATTGACTTTACGATCGAGCATATGATGCGACCATTCTGGAAGATGGCAAATACACGCTGAGTCAAGTTGTTCGCCAGTTCCTTTGTCTTTTCATTATGCCATAAGTTAACCATCCTGCAGGTTCGTACCAAAAGGTGCATCATCGATCGAAAAGACATGGGGACAGGAACGCAAAGAACGTGACCCGGGCAGTTTGGGTGATCAAAGTGCTACTGATTGCGTGTTATTGTGTCAGAGGGATTGCTATTAAGTATCCGTGGTCGGAGCCCAATAGTGCCGATTTGATGTCAGTAGCAGAGGAGCGAAGCTCTGCAGACGCCAGTGGTTAAGCATGATATGTGTTACAACGTCACAACGCAGTGACTTAGTGTTTAGCCCGTAAAATAATGTTAGCAGCGCTGCATCAAATAAGTTTAACCTTCTCCACAGGCGAATAAAGCAATGAAAAGTTACACGAGTGGTGATGTGAGTGCTCAGACGCATACGAAAAATGAACCAGATAGGCAAAGGGAGGCGAATCTGACGGATTCGGGTATTGGACACAAGCATAGGCGTTGACGTACGCGGCTTCACTGATTGGCTGAAGCACCTCATCATTTTTCAAATGAGTAAAAGGGGGAAATCTCATTGGTTCAAAAACCTCGTTTGAACGATATGTGCGGAAGCGCTCTGCTGATTCACCTTCATGGATTAAATTGCTCATGGACGACCGATTTACGCAACACAAAGACATCAGCAGTACGCCGGCACATCTTACCGACGATTCACTGAGTATACCGCGAGGTCACCGCACTTAGTGTATTCGAACCTACAAGGCTTTACTGGTAACATAAGGTGTATTCAGCGAGAAGACTGGTAGAAGTGCGGCTACCTAGAAGAAGGAACCGAACCACCACGTCTGACGGAGATTCTGAAAGTGAATTGAAAGGCAGTCAAGTCAGATAACAGAACTCTGCCCGTAAAGAGCAGGGGCACTCCGAATCAGTACTAAAAGAAACATCTACTGTGTTTGAAGTAATCTGGTCGACATGTCGGAAATCGGCCCACAAGCCAGGTGGTGTAGGAGCCATCTAGCATATCAAAGGTGATCCGTACCGATTGTCAGTGGCCGCTGTTGTTTCAGTTCGAACCGATGATGTAGCTCCGCAGATGGAGCCCAGGTCATCGGAGGACAACCTCTGAGGGCTAAGTTGAACCCTAAGAGTTAGGCGTTGTGTGAACATAAGGAGGCATGTACGGGGTACAGGCAAGCGCTCCAAATCGACCAACGAGCATGAAACGAGGTGGACCAAATGTAGATGACGGTGACATGATTTATTTTGGTTCACACCTAGTGGTTCAATGGGCAGAGGTGGTGTGATGCGGTTCGTGCTAGAAAGTTGACATTAAGGACCTGATCAGCACAAGGTAGGGAAAATCGTAAGCTGTCGTCAGTAAGACTAACATCGAACTCCGGAGTGCTTATACGATGGAGTTCAGGTTCCAATTAGGGACCCATTCGAATATGGACGCTTTACACAACGGGGACAATACAGTGACTCCAATTCAAACAGAAGATCACAATACTCATTTCGAACAGTCACCGAGAAACAGTTGGTGAATGCTCAAACTGAAACTACAGCGAGTTAAGAGCTTTCAAATGAAAAAACACGACACATCCTGCAGAATGCATTTGGGATTTCCGCTTACAGTGATTTTAACACATTAAATAACCGGGACCATTGACTCGTTGCCACCAGAGCAGAGGAATGTAGCCGCCGTCACAAGATACTGAAAAACCGGGTAACTTGGTTTCACATGTTTTGTTCGGAATGTACCACACATTTATCAGTGCTCTTTATAATATTATTAAATGATCTGTACATGGGCTATAGTGTCATAATGTCGCAGAAAATATTGACTGATGCAGTTCTATACCCTTAAGTCAGTTGTTTTAAAAGATCTACTATGGCCAAAGTTCTCCCTTAACGGAGATACTTTGACCATGACAACAAATACATAGAGCCAATGTTACATAACACAAGAGTAAGATAGGCCACTGTTCATATGTAAAAAAGTACAAAACAGCTATAATACGTCATCAGAATCAACAAAGATTTCTAGTCGGATGTCACTGACAACACCAACAGAGGACAAGTAATCGACTTCTCTTAGATAAACTTTGGCTGTCGAGTCATTTTCTGGTTCAGCACAAGGCTCGATTCCGGTAACAAGCTCCTCGGTTGGACCCAAGACATTTTTCCCAGACTGGACGTCCAGAGCCTTTTTGCGTTGTAGTAAATTCTCTTCACCAGTGACAAACCGCATTCCTTTCAGCTGTTATTTGTATACCTAAAAAACGGAGGTGCTAAGAGCATCTGCAATTTCTTCATTTTCCCATGGAATTCTGCTCAGGACAGACTGGGAATTTATTGGATAGATGCCAGTTTTTCAAAACCCTGACCGCAAATTTTCTACAATCTCTTTACCCATGGTATCTAGAAGTTGTTTGAACAACCCCGGGAGTCTATATTTCTGGGTGGTATGGTTCAATTTGTCACAGCTTTTATAGTATGTAAGCATGTCTCACCACTTGGTCTACATAGCCCGAAAGAATTCTACATCCAGAGGCTGGTAGACGTGGAAGGCAACAAAAAGCAATATTGTTTTCATTGCAGTCTGACAATATCAAGAGAAAAATGTGAAATGAGATTGCTGTCCAATAGCACACAACGGTCAGCTTTTCTGCAACAGAAACCAGTCCAAGAAAAGGTGTTGTCAAACCAGTTTGACCTTGACCTGTTATATCGTGTGCCTGGTGAACCATTCTCTGTCCAAGTGTTCCAAAGCTTCTCGGCTTTGCACACTACATATGACGGCAGTAACTCTCCATCACCGGTGCCAGCATAAATTCGGCTAATTGCTGACTTTGGCAATCCTCTCATGATATTTGGTTCCCCTTTCAGATTACTTGGCCAGCTGGTCAAAGTTAGCCTTAAATAGAAAAGCTTATTGGGGTAACATTGGCCACCAAGACAGTAACATAATACACGGTAAATGTGTTTGGATAAGATCAAATATGTTTACTAGTCCTTATTCGCAAAAGGACGACAGAGGTGGTTATACTTACACTTTCTCAGAATCATGATTCACAGAAAAAATTATAACGTATGTTAAACACATGTCATGACACCGGCCATTTATGACAATAAGTATACTCAGGACTGAATATCTCAGTTCATCATAAAATAATTTCAAAGTGATGAAAAATGAATTTTCAACACAAAACCAATTTTACCAAACCAAATAATAAAGAAGTGTAACCCTTTATACTTTGTTTCATGTTGGCTCAAAGTTATCACAAGAGGCCAAACATATCCCATTTACGGTACCAAATCAAGCAAAAGAAGGAAGACAACGTCGTCACACATACACCTCAAGAAAGTGATACCTGCTGATCCACCTGACAGGACGGTAAACAGTGAAAGAATATAGGTAAAGTGAAACATTAGGTTTGGGAGATCGTTTGGGTAAATGCACATATGTCATGAGAACCGGAGTAATCACTTGCTGAAAAAAAGACTGTTAGCTCTGTTTGACTGATCAAAAAGGAAGTAGATTTGTTTAGAGAACTCCATACAGAATCCATTAGATAGTAGTCTGATCCGCAAAGTAATGGAGAGAAGCAGTTCTAATTTTAGAGTGACTAGGGTCCGGTGAAAATGCGACCATGGGAGGGGGCTCAGAACAGTGTACGTTTATTCGATCGTAACCGACAACGCACATGCGACCAAGATCAACTGCATGCAAGATTGCATCGTACTGGTAAGAAATTGCCAAATGTGCAGTTGCAGGTAATTGTGTGACAGTCATTCCCCTTCAGACCCCGTAGTAGACGTGCTTTAGGTTAATCGAGTTGAATCCGTAACCCACTGAGTTTCGCGCTTGAGGGTGTGTATATAAATCGCATCCACCAAAGCTCTATCGAGAGGACGATAAGACTGAAGCTGATGGGTCGACAACAACTATTCCATAAGGTAGCAAAGAATTTGCAGTCACTCAATGAAGCTCACTGGGTAGAAATATTCATAGCCCGGTAAACTCAAGTATCAGGGCAAATGTGTAAAATTCAGCATCATAAGCCAATGTAATTGTAGAGGCAATTAAAAAAGAGTGATGAGAACCTTCAAATGAACACGCGAGGTACAAGCAGAGATAAGCTGGTTCAATAGAATATGTGACCAGCAAAGTCAAGTAGAGATCCAGCCAGTAAAAGCCTCAGAACGTGGTCCCGCACTTGCTACAGTGCAACCGATTATCTTTGGCTCTGATGTGAACAGAACCGGTGGAACATCTGCAATCGCACCGCCCTGTGAGCTAAAATTTTGCAGGAGATGAGAACACAAGACGACTGTATCTGTCCACAGCCCAGCGAGTAGGGTATGCAAGCAGATACTGCACTGATCTTGTATTGGAATACTAAACCGATGGCATGTATAAGAAAATTGATCTAATGTAAAGAAGCAAAGGAAGAATTAAGGAGTAGAAGGCAAAAGTGAGCACGAAGCGGAGAGCGAATACGCTCAACAGCGATAATCAAGTAAACATTTAATGGATTAGAAGCGAATTAGCAATACAGCGGTCTTGCAGCAGGACCGAGTTGAGAGAAGCAAGAAGGCGATGCAGTCAAAACTGAGAATGGGATTGGGGATCACAAAGTGACCGAACATAACATAAGGAAGCATTCGTGAACTCAGAACGTCTATTAAAAATATATGCAGCCGCGCGCCGCAAAAAACGGAACCATGCTGAGGGAACTCCAGCACAACACGCTAGCTCCCTAGAGGAGACGAACGGTGGATAAAGTGAAAACAAGGTGTACTAACGAAAAAATAAACCAAAAACGACGCAAGCCTCTTTACAAAGTATAAAATAGGGAATCAAAACATCCTATGGAAAAACGATTAAACAGCACAGGGTTGGAGGGGGAAAAGACGTACACTAGATAGACTGCGAATGGCATGAGAAGCTCACGGGACCCCGTAAGGCGCGTCAAATCAGCCAGCAGTCGTGAGCCGGAGCAAAAGTACGGGGAAAATTGCGAAACACCTGATAATGGGCAAACACGAACTGATTTGCGTTGACGAGGCGAAAGTTCGAAAAATGATCTATCAGGATATGAGAAAGCCGACGAAAACGGAAGAGAAAGAAGTGGGTGCGACAGTGATGGAGATAAAAAAAAGTTCCCATCGGTAATAGTGTTATAGCACAGAATTCAGCCAGGAAATCAATTTTCGGGAGAAGGCAAATATGCCCAAAGAGAACAATGCTGAAGCGGTGAAAGAACTTTAATCCGCGACCGGAGATCGCATTGTTAGCACAGAATAACGCACGTCGACGTCCCATTAAATAATAATTCATTTTTTCCGACCCAGGGTGAAGAACTTTTTCTTTCCCGTCGCGACCCCGCTTGAACCCAGCTGGGATTCCGATTGGACACCGGAAGGCAGAGTGGCAGCCCGACCGCCAGCGCTGGAGGTGGATTCAAGAGGTTCACTTGGCAGACTGGCTATGACCGCATTGATCATTTGAACCCACTCGTGCATCGCCTCATCGGAACGCGCTTGGAACAGCGTTTCTCCTCCGTTAGATAGCTTCAGACGGAACACATACTTTCTTTTCGCGTAATTGAACGCGGGTGCGGCTGAAGCACCAGCCAAGGGAACTGGGGTTTCGTGGCGATACAATTCGCTCGGCTTTTCTTTGGCTAGGCGCTGTTCTTTGTAAGCAGATAAGGTGCCAGCAGATGCGGATAAAACAAAGTATAATTCGTGCCAAGATCGAGAGGGAGCTTTTTTACCTCCACTCTGCCATTCATGCTTGCGGATAAGAATACCTTCAAAATCGCGTGGAGGACGACCAGAGTCCCTACTTTCGCGTCCTCGCTTGGGAGTGGAAGGAACACGGCCAGTGGTTTCAGCTCTGGCATCCCCGGCAAATCTCTCTGCATCAGAAACGGGAATTTGGACAATGGGTGGGGGTGGGAGAAACTCTTTGATAGCTTCGGCAATCCGCCGTTCTTTTTCGGCGCGACGGGCGGCCTCCGTTTCAGGAGTTCTTTCCTTGGCTTTGAGCTCTAACTAGAAGTGAGAATGAAGAGTAAGTCATAAAACGAAGACAAAAAGCGAGGTACTTAGCATAATACAGCATGATGATGGAAAGGGAGAGCAAGGAAAATACAAGTAACTTGGTGACATGTCTAAGCCATTCAGATTAAAGTAGTGTTGTTCAACAAAACACATAATTCATCGAAAGAACCAAGTGGTCCATTGTCTATAAACCCACTTAGGCCACACAGATCGCGACAAGCGCTGTTGAGGTTAATTGGTCTTTTACTGTTAAAACCAAAAGAAACCTTGATGGACGATACCCAATAGATCTGGGTTAGAAATATACAAACAGGTTCAACAGCAGCTGAATAGGATCATGCATCCCTGTTCCACAGTTGTGCCAAAGCACCTGAGAAATAAGCAAAAATAAACCGAGTATACGAAAATAAGTGAGCACATAACGTGAAGACCAATGGGTATATAAGTGAACTAAAAATATTCATCAACATCATATATGTTGGCCAGAGGTGGGAAACACCTCAGATAGTGCCATAATCCGAGCCAGTTAGGTGGTAGTAGAATAGAACATAAGAGAAAGACAATACAAGCAGAGGAAAAGTTATGTGCGTCGATAATGAGATCACGGTTGAAAGGAAATGGACAAAGTAACTCAGGACACAAGAATCGTTGAGGCGGGCTCTTCTCTGTCAGCAAATGTATTCTGCCATCGTCTGTTGGACCCCAGCCCGGGAGATATCAAACAATGCCAAGTTCGAACGGGGACTACTTCTCTCCTGACCAAGTCCTCGTTTGGCCGCCCGTCTGCTCTCCTATCCACACACTGGCGGGGAAATAAGACATATCGCAGGAGCCTGGTGCGTGAAGTAACGGTGCTGAGCGGTTTTCTTCCACTTATTGCACCATAAATGAAATGCCGAACACCGCCAGATGTGAGTTAAGCTGTGAAGGCGCCGGTGATCGAATGCGAAATACATGTTACTACTGTTTACTTTATTTTCTCCATATTCCTCTTACTCCCATCCCAAATCCCCATTATGAACCCTCCTTCTAAAATCCCCAGCTTAATGGACAGCAGTTGCATGTCACTAGATGAATACAATGTGCAGCTATCTTCACGCACCAACCACTAGACGCCTATCGATAACATCCGACGCCCCGTTGAAGTTCAACGTTTGCACTCGAAGACAAATAGAGTCAATAGGTTGCATTTGCATGCAAGTTGGACACATTGGGTATCGACGTGTGTTGAGTATCCGAAACTAGGACCAATGACCCGCACAGGGTTGTTGAATTAACTACGCCAGGCTTGACCTCTAGCTATTGGTTGCACGCATTCGGAGACACTGATGCTCCAAGACTGAGTCCTCGTTGGTTGATTAGATTCCAGTGAGCAGTCCGTTTGAGGACATAAACTAAGGTTGATTCACGAAGTAGTACAAGACGTTGTTTGTTTGCGGTTTTCGCTTATGCACCCACCGACTGCAGTTCTGATGCTACAAAGACACCTATCACGAACTGCACACGCTGCGTTGTAGTGTAACCTGTTCTGACATCACTGTTGACGCAGTAAGTATGAATGCGCAAGTAGGTCATCATCTGGGCTCTTCAGAAACTCAACTAGGTGGTAATTGTGAACTTAATTCCGACCGGACAGACAACGGCGAGTGTCTGCTGCAACTGCGCGCAGAGTACCGGCTGTTTCGTAGTAGCACCGCTTCCAGACACAGTGGACGCCGAAGTGTCCCCTAGCGTGTCCCTACGGCTGGCCAGTTATGGACCCAAATAGATCAGGTTGCATTGAGCAACAAGTGGCGTAGTTCCAACCTACATTGTCGCTCGTTCTGGAATACTTGCGTGGACTCTGATCATGACTTGGTACATTGTCGCTTTTCTATGAACTTTACTGGGAGGTGTATCAAGTGCCCCATCGATTGGTGACTGAGAAGTTATCAAATCCCTCGGTCAGACAAGTTTACTACGATGCCCCTGTACCGATCTTTCGCTCTCTCGCCCTAATGATACTGATCTTCAGTGCAATAGAATATCGGCCGCGAAACACGACGCGGAAACATCTGCTTGTGACAGTATTAATCGTCACCACACAAGTCACTGGATATCCGAGAGGTCGGTGAAAACTCCCAAATGGCTGAGTACAATGTAACCAGACGGACTATTAGGCGCGAACTAAAGCGGAGCCTACGTGGTGATAAGGAAGCATGGTGGACCATTAGGGCTCAATAGATAAAGAGGATGGGAGCAGTAGACAATTATCGCAAGCTCTCCCAATTGATCCGCACCAATAGCCCTAGGAAACCAGGCGTCAGTTAGACAATCGGAGACAGCACGGACACTGATTTAAAATAAGGGGTGTCGTATGACTCGTTAAGCGGGGCACTTACGAGAGCAGCTCTATCGGTCCCCTGCTCCAGGACCGCTTCCCAGTCAGATGGTGCAGGTCGAGCCATGGTCAGTTAGTTTAGAAGCTCACTGCGGAACGGGATTACCGGATTAGGGAACAGCAATCAGGTTTACGCCCAGGATGGGGCTGTATAGACCACAAATTCACTCTGCGGCAGGTGCTAGAACAGCGCCACACGTATCGCAAGCCGACAGTAGCTGGGCTCCTCGACTTTAAGAGTGCGTTTGACTCAGCTGATCGATCCATTTTGTTAGGAAAGGTGTTCCCACGAAATATGGGAACACTTTACGTGTATTGTACTCGAATCCACAAACCGCTTCAGGGTCTACTGTGACCTATCAGATATCTTCCCGATAAAAAGTGGCGTTCGTCAGGTTTGTCCAATTTCCTCATTTTCGTTCAACTTCGTGGTGGACTGCATCATTGAGTATTCGTTTGTGGAGTCTCACGATGCAGGCGTTGAGGTGCTGCCTGGTGAAAAGCCAATTGATCTTGATTGTGTGGATGATATCGTCATGCCGCTAGACGCTGTTGGGGCAGCCCAGTCAACCTTGAAAAACACCACTAGAGTGGTCCCACCATTTGGCATGCGCTTCGCACCTTCAAAGTGCAAGTGTTGTTACAAGATTACCAGCCACTTGATGACCCGTTGATAAAAAGAAAATCGAGGTAGTTCGTCAATGCGCTCACTTTGGCAGCTGCATCAGCAAGCATGGGCGCATAACCAATGAAGTCAGTTCACGTAATGCAAAAGCTAGGACTAGCCTCTTGAATATGCGACTTCTATGGTGTCAGAAAGAGGTGGCACTCGGTTTGGAAACACAGTTTACATGGCTACAGTGAGGGTCCGTCCTACTCTATGAAAGTGAAACTTGGCCTCTTCGATCGGATGCGTCTTCAATGCTTTGATAATTGCTGTCTGCCAGCCATTGCTGGTATCCGGTGGCACCAGCTTTTCCGTAACGATGATGTGCGTAAGCGAGTGCTAAGCACAGATACTCAAGCTAATTCGGTGGAACAATAGATAGCACTGAATAAGTCGCGTGGACTTGGGCACGTATTACGTATGCCCGGTCACTGCTTACCGAGGATGGTCCTGTTTTGTCTGCCAGATGTAGTGTTGAAAGGCTCGGGGTGGACAAAAATTGACTTGCCAGCGGAAAATGAAGCCACTGACGACCAAACTGGATTCCGTTGGTCCATCTCGCCTTCCGGGCTGGAGTCCACGTCACCCGTCTTGTGCTTGGCTCAACTTTACAGGACATGGCTCGCAGTCGACACCAGTGGTGCATTTGATGTCATCGCCTAGTGGGACTGACTATGTAAAGTGCATTTGGTGCTGGGTTATTTGCGGGGTAATAGCTGATTATGATGCGGAGCAGTGGAAGCTGTAAGAAAAATGTTTCGCAGATGCTGCCTCATCTACGCAAAATAACCAGCTGTTTGTGACCGTGTCGTTGACAAGGTGTAACCGCTTTGACTTTTCATGTGTTTGGATCCCTCTTCGCTTCGCACTTCGTATTCCTCATTTCGTAGACGATTGTTGTTGTACGGCAGCGAAGAAACAATTTAAATAGTTGACGTACTGTTGTAGATGAGCGAGGATCGAGGGCTACGGATATAAGTGGATGAACCGTTGCTCACTTGGTTGAACACAGAGTTGCCCATTTAGTCGGGGTGACGCCCTGAGATCGCGTGTGGGTCGAAAGTAGAAAAAAAGGACTAAAAAGCAAGGCGGTGGAGGGCAAAGAATGGGGGGCTGCAGAGAACGGGGATAAAAGTGGGAACGGACGATAAGGAGGAAAAAACGTAGGAATGGGGATTAAGAAGACAGGAGAATTTAGGCAGCAGCGTCCTCATGCCTATCAACCCCGTTCGGTGCGGCAGACAGCGTGTCGATAATAATCCTTTGCGACGGTCAAAATATCAATAAATTGTGACAATAGGTTTTTGTACTTGTGTACAGGCACCATATTGGCAGATTGCCCAGGTCTAGACAGAACGGTTATGACTGGGCAAAAGGCACAAGCAGTACGCCGGTAGGCAGTACCGACGCGCAACTCTCTTCAAATGCGGGGGTGCTGCTCTTGTTGCTGATTTACACGAATTACTGGTGAAAATGTGGGAAAAGAAAACTGTCCCAACTGATTGGAGCCGTTCTGTTATTGTCCCAATATTCATGGGAGAATCACATTTGGAATGCGGCAACCGTAAAGGAATCATTTTGATCTCCACCGCCTTCAAATTGCTTGCCTCTGTCATCTTTCACAGATTGACTAGCACTCGCGTTCACAAGACACGATTTAGATGTGGGACTGCTCCAAGGTGAACGACTTCTTGACTTAGAGTATGCTGACGACATTGCCCTAATCTGTAACGGCTCACAAACGTGACAAGCGGCATTGGACAGATCAGCACTGGCTGTCAGCCGTTTCGGATTACGTTTGCATCCTCGAAGTGTAAAGCTTTCCTTAAAAATTGGCAGGGACCGCCTCTTGGTGAGGATCAGCTAGAAGTCGTCCAAAAACTCAACTGCCTAGGCAGTTGTGTCAGCGCCTGTGCAATCGAAGACACAAACCGCATATCAAAAGCTCCAGGCGCTTTCGTTAACCTCAGCCACCTATGACGCTGCGCGACATCACTCACGCCATGAAGAGTCGGGCAGGTGGCCGAAAGGATTGCACACCTGACTTGCAATCCTAGATGTGACGAAATTCTACCTATACCATTCAACTCCCCCTACTACTCTTCTGTAATCCTTAGATCGTCGGTTCGAATCCGCGTAGGGGCCGGCGTCCCCGCGGTATACTCAGCCGACGCGCTACCGGTGATGGTCACGTGGCAGCGAAGCGTGGGTACAGTGTGCCAGCGTACTGCGTATCAAAAAAATACAGTTTGAAGGGTAGTTTGCAATGCAACCGCACGTTCGACCCTACTGTACGATTATGAAACCCGGCCCGTTAGATTGGCGGACAAAAAGAGCACCGATGCCTTCGCAGTTTGGCTCATATCCGATGGGAATGCCGTGTGATCAATGAGCGTGTTCGGCTCCTTGTTTATGGCACAGGAAGAGATGAACCGCTCAGGAACGCTAAATCACACACTAGGCTCCAACGGCTAGGCCAAGTGTTGCGCATGACAGCCCACCGACTCATTCGACGTGCGATGTTTGCATGGCCGGGGTTGGATGGAAGAGGGAGGCCAACTGGTGACATAACCAAGAGATCCTTAGTTCGAGATCGGCCTAGGTTGGAGCGTCTCGGCTCCCTGGTTGGGGTCCGAAGGACGGTGAACACGTTTGGTTGGGTACACTTGTTGACACGGCGAAGAAGCGATCACAATAGCGTTTGTGCCGAATTTCCTTGTTCCCCCTCCCGCCTAGCCTCCCCCTCCAAACAAGATCTCAGTTCTTAGGCATAAGATAACTTTTTACGGCACAATAGCTGGCTGGTAGCTCCGCGGAACTTTTCACCCGCTGTTGGTGGCTAAGCTGGCGTATCCACTGCGTGTTTATTTTTTCCTTTTTTATGTATTGCGGTACAATAGGTGATTTTTACGTCTAGCTAACGTGTATGATGAGGATGAATGAGGCGCAACGACAACGTCGCGCGTGAGCTAAGGATACTGCGAGGGTCGACCGGTCAGCTACGCAGGCTCGAACCCCAGACCTCAGATTACAAGGCAAGTTTGTGATTCTTAAGGTCACGGGGCAGCGGTTAGAGTTGGAAACCAAAGCTGACCGCAAGGCAGCAGCAGTTTAGTAGTGGTCTACATGGAGTCTGTTTTGTGGAGTGAGGAGCCACCCTCACTCTAGCTCCCAATCTGGAGGACCAGAAGACTGAGTTTGGCTTCTAACCACTGACCCATCTGGTATGAGTGACTGCATGAGCCACCCAGTACAGCTCAATGGGCCGTTGACGCACGCAAACCGTCATACTACGTTAAGATTCAGTATTGTTGCGGTGGAAAAAGTAACATAAGATTAGCCGTGTGTGCAAAACAAATAAAGCTGATTTCATTCAGCAGAGAAAATCTAAATCAGAGAGCTTACGTTCTATAGACGAGCACAGCAATCAGCAACGAGTGAAACAATGGCAACGGAGGCGTGCAGTTTGCTAAAGCGTGGCTCAATGGCCTGTAAGATAAGTGATCGAAAACATATCTGAAAAATAAACGGTAAAAGCAAAAGTAGGTATCGGTTTAAAATACAACAATTACAGTGGTTAGCCTTTGAAGAGCGATGAAGCGTTCTTCCTGAGTGGCCACGGCGCGTTCGAAAGCCAAATGTTTCTTCAAAAGGGCCAAAGTTTCATCCAGTGTTTCGCCAAGGTCCTTGCTAGCCACATACGGTTCTTGCGCCATAAGCCATGCATCGGCGACCTCAGCATCACGTGCGAATTGATAAACTTCTAACAAAAGCTGCAACGTTTCCCAACGTTCAGTCCATTGATCCACAAGTTGTATGCGTTCGGTAACAAGCTGCGAGAACAAAGCAAAAGCATACGATCTGTCTGATGGTACACATCAAGCTGGGCGTCTTGGGACAGTGCATAAAGCGCAAACATTCACAGCTTTGATCACGTATTATACTAACTGCTATGTACTAATTACATCAAATCAGACAAGCAGGGGGATTAAAACAAAACGAGCTCTCGGCCAATTTTGGTTTTAGACTACGACCTCCAACAATTCCGACCAGAAACAACCCAGGTGCATTTCGCAACTAGACAGCCGTGAAACGTCGGATAGGACTAACATTCCAGACTGTGCCTTCACCACGTGATTAAACAGCATCACTTGATATAAGCCGTATTTTACAGGTGATTGTTAAACATCTGCAGGAACGTGAAATCGGTGAACAAAAGAAGCCAAGTTTCACACCCGTAGGGAAGAACATCTCGCACTGTAAGACCGCACGTGGACGGCTCTCAAGATCGAGGAAAATCTCTTGCTGATACCATAAACCCGCTACAATTGGACTCACATGCCCAACATTATCGGGGGCATATATGATTGCAGTTTACACAAGTATTAACAATCACTCTGCAGTCAAATAGAGAAAAATAAGGCGTTAATCACAAGTCGATCAGGACTTGTTGTGTTGGGGGTCCATATAAGGTTGTTTAAGCATCACGACACTTCAAGGACCACTTAGCCGAAAATACGGCTGCCTGTAGTTGTCAATACTAAACCCAAACGCCTTGGTACGGAATGTAATGAAATGTCCACACCTTATTCAGTTAACTGCATAGTTTTTATCTGGGTGCTCTGAATGAGTTCATCGATTCCCTATGGACACCTTAAAAAAGCATACGATACTAATCGCTGAGTAAGAAAAAAATCCGTATCCTAACAAAGAGCTAGAAGAATAAATATTATTCGCCACACCACACGTAACGTCTTCCTGCGTCGGACAAAAAGTAATCCAGAAGCCGGCACCCTACTCGCCAAATTCAGTAATTCGAAGTGGCCTATCCACCTCCCAACAGGTGGCGGAGTAAAATTAGGATGTCGATCGCGGTGGTGGGTTTCGCTGCAGTGCAACCGCAAATGGACTGCGCCGAGATGCCCGTGAAGTATCACCCGAAGGTGTCTGAACTATAACGCAAACAGACAGAGATAGTTGTTTTGTCTTATATTAATAACGCACCAAAAGTGGCGGCCAAACCATACAAATAGCATCACCTCGACGTAGCACATAAACTAATTGGCACCATGAGAAAAACCCAGTCAAGAGCCAAGAAAATACCGAAAGCGCATGTATGATGGAAAATGCGAGAAGATTGGCAACAAGGAGACAAGTGAACAAAAGAAGCTGCGAAAAAAATTAGGCATCATCCCTAGTTTCGGCGCTTGTGGATGGGGAAAAATACAGCCATGATCAGGCCAAGACAAAAGAAGTGTCACGAGGTGACCTAAGAAAATGAGAGTTCCTAGAAGCCTGGTTCTTCACGAAGAATGAAACCAACATACAGATTGACATCGACTTAGTATGCCAAGCACTCCGTCAGAAAGCAATCGGACGAATTTCAGGACGCTGCATGAGCCGGAACAATCGAATAACCGGACAAAGGACAAGATAATCAGCGTAAACCTATTGCCTGAACTCCATACATCATAAGTGAGAGAATCTCCTTACGCCGGAACCTTATTCTAGCAGCTAATCAAGATCAATCTAGTCCCTTTGGATACACTGATCAACAGTCAAGGAGGATGAAGCTATCCAGTTTGAGTTGAAGCATAGTGAATTCAAACACAGGGGCTTTGTTTTGAGGTCCTCAATATGGTCCCACATTGATTCTTTAACCTTTGTGATAAGCGTTGGCTGCGACTCCGTGGGGAGTGTAAGGGAATCGGGTGGCAGTTTGTTCGTCCATAGTTCGAGTTCAAATCACACAATCTATAGGGATGTTAATTGGTTCTGGAGCTGGACAATCTGGCTACAGACTTTTCTGTGCCATTTCTTGTGGCGTAATATAAAACACGTTGGATAACAAAGCAAACAAAAAGAAATAAGAATTTGCACAGCGAAATATGGGTTCCCCTTTACAATTCCAAGTAAGAACATCAGAAGACGAAGGTTGTGGGATAACACTGACATTTCGTGCACACTCGTCGGACACTTACATGTAACTAACAAGGGATTCAAAACAATGTCCCACGAAACCAACTAGCAGTCAGGTGTAATCCAGTTGGTATGTTGCATGCTATCACGATAGGCTTAGTGTCACTGTCATCTTTCTTTGAACACAGTGGAGGACGCTGTCGATCGTGTAATGCGCAATGGTCCAGAAGCAAAGTGGTCGATCGAGAGACTAAATGACGAGAACATTGATTTCGGCGACGCAGCAGAAATATGCGCCGGGCTATCCCATCAGTAGAAGCCAAAACAAAACGCAGCGCGATGCAGCCAACGAGCATTAAGGAGAACATTGATCGTAGTCATTCGAACCAAACGGAGCATCAATGCATCAACGGACTGAACAGTATAAAGTTTAGCAGCTAATAATGCGGATTTACGGGATAACGACAAGAAGCAAAGCTGGGGTAAAAACATAATAAAAAGTCATCAGTAGTACGACAGCACGTAGTACCGACGTTTCGCTGTCGCGCAACTACCACCAGTCGCATATGGGCAGATACTTCGAGGGTCGCCCGGTCCCTACGCAGGCTCGAACCTCCGTCCTCGCATTACAAGGTAGAGTTAGGATTCTTAAGGATACGGGTCAACAAGCGGAACTAGTGCACATAGGCAGTAGGCACAGGCGTGATATCCAGTGGGAAAGTACTACAATCGATAAAAATGGCCGCAAGCAGCTTGAGAATATGATGTCTTTGACTGCGTATGCGGATTGCGAATGATTCACTCAGGTTGACCCGTTGACAGGTGATCAGCAAGTGTCCTGTAATAACAGTTCGAAAGAAACCGGTTTTCATTGGGTTGAATTTCAAAGGCGACCACTTCATGAAAGCGCCTCAGTGAAAAAGGCATACAATGCAACAGGTACGCTTACTTATGTCCACAAGACCACTGACTAAGTGTTCAGTGAAGCCACCAGTGTTGAAGCAATACACGTCCCATTGCTTACACAAATCTATATGTAATTGTGGAGACAGCTATGTTAGGCACACTGATCGAAAGCTTAATGCCTGAACCAGTGAGCATATTCCAAAGTGGATTCACAAAAGGACGGGACAGGCAGTTGCAGCACGTGAATCGAGGAGAAAAGTTGCCCCGGAATTACGAGGCAGTTGATGGGTCCCGGTCACCAGGTAAGCCCTGATGCGTCATTCATAGTCCTTATGCGTAGTTAAAGGTCTCATATTCTCAAGCTCCTTGAAACCATCGTTTTCGATCGACAACACCGTACAGTGTGTTCAAAAACACACTAAGCCAACCGTGGTAGAGCGCAACACTCCAAACGGAAAACACCTGGCCTCTAATTGATTCCATGTGACATTATTTTGAATCCCTTGTTAATTGCATGTAAGTGCCCGACGAGTGTTCACGAAATGACGATGTCAACTCACCACCTTTGATGAATAAGGGGCTTAAAAATTTTTAATACAGCTTTTTGAGCGCGACGAGCTGACCGGACGCTCATAAGCAAAGAAACGTTAAAACAATCGGCTGACGTGTGCGTAAGGCGAAGCTACATATCGACAAAACGGCTTTTATAGGGGGGTCAAGGGATAGAGTACAAATTGGTAGCATATTGCATAGTAAAACAGAGCGAATAAAAAACGGAGATATTAGTTAAAAGATGCGTTCAGTTGCGTATCGTGATGCTACCCCGATTGATACCAAGAGGGAAATAACAAGGGCGAAATAAAACAGCGCAAAGATTCGCAAGGTCCTCGCGCTGAGGTTCGAAACCCCGGATTACTAGTCGATGCACATTAAACTCGCAACAACGCGTTCGACGGCTCAATCTGATTCTCTATTCTCGAAATCACCCGCGATTTTTACCGCCTAGGCAAGTGACGTTACCTGCAATCGTCTCTCGGAGAGCCTACTTGTTTGTAATTTTCCGTCAGAAAAATTATTCCCTTTTTAGTGCACAGTACTGCCTTAGTATTATTCACATTCCCCACATAGTATTAGGTTGGTAATAAAATTATTACGCTTTTTGGTACTTTTATTTTAACAACTGTTTTTAAATATTTTACAAAGACAGTCGAACCCGCTTCATTGCCCACGCGGTTTATAGCCCACCCCGCTTTATTGCCTAGTTTTTCAAAATACAAATTCTTTTCTCTTAATTATGCTAAAGTTTCACCGTCTAATTGCCCATTGCCGGTTGTCCCACCGCTGAATTACCCAGCTGCGTGGGCTGTGCTCTCCTCGCTTTGTCAATGTTACGTCCCTGCTCCGACTAAGTTTTATTACGATATCCCACAGCTAACCAGCCCGATCGAGTCAAGAAAAACAAAGATGTCGGCGGTGTGTGTTATTGACAGATCAGAATACGTTACCTAAGTCATTCAATTCACGATCAAGCTAAATGTACAAACGGATGTGCACAAGCCCTCTGCCCCATTAAAAACTAGAGAACTGAGCAAAGTCGGGTGATGTTTCCGCTCCACATTTGTCAGTACTCTAGTGGTTGCACACAAGTATGGCCAGTAACAGAAAGGAGTTATCCTTGACAGGAAAGTTGGACGTTTTGGACCAACAAAAAAGTTATTTACCAGTAACTTCGCAGGACGAGTTGTCGAGTGATTTACACATTTCTCGTCGTACCCTGGCCAGGTTGATAGCCAGCGCAAAGGAACTCCGGCAGCATCTGTCGCATGACAATGCAAGCTCTCAGAAAAGGAAACGATGTGAAGAGGATGAAGAAGTTGAAACTGCATTGAAAGACTGAATAATATCGCTTCCTGAGCACAGCCAAACAGTTACAAGCCTGCTGTTGAAAAGGCAGAAGAATTCGAAGAAAGATTTGGGAAAAACGTTGCTGCCGCATAAGAAGTAAAGTTGCAAAGAGGGCAGGAGTAGAAACCGTATTGTGTAAAGTGCGCATGTCCAAAAGAGCTCCGCGGACAGAACAGTCTGTGAAAACTAGTTAAAAGATCGACTGCCTAAACTTTTAAATGCGTTTGATGGTGACGCGTACAATGCAGAAGAACCACGTCCTTTTTACCGAGCAACTCTAGAGGGCTATGTGTTTTTCTGCCGACAAGTTCAGAGGATCGGAAAAAGTCATGGATGGGATCATTCTTCTGTGCTGCACGAATATGTCAGGCACAGATTAAAAAAATGCTTTTGATTGGAAAACGTAAGAAACCACGATGTTTTAATAGCGTGAATGTGGACCCACTTCCAGTATATTACAGAGTTAACAAAAGTGAGTGGATGACGAAAGAACTTTTCACCGAGTGGGTCTTGGAATGGGACAAGAAGCTAGACCAAACTATTAGGTTGATTTTGGATGATTGCACAGCGCATTCACAAATAGAAGGCCTGAAAAATATACGGATGGAATTTTTGCTGACAAACATGACCAGCATTCTTTAACCCATGGACCAAAGTGTGATTATGAATCTGAAAATTAGTTGCGGAACGATATGGTAGACAGGATTCTTTATCACATCGAAAACAACGTGCCATCTGGTTCATCGTTGGCGGTGGATGTCAGCGCCATGGTTTCTTTACTCCATGCAAATCAGTACGTTTTAAAAGGTTGGAGACATGTTACCAGTGCAACAATAAAAGCATGCCTTCGGCATGCTGGCTTCAGTCGACTGGTTTCCGATGCACGATCCGATGACGTCGTCATCGCTGAGGACCAGATCAGCGATGGCACAATCCCAGTCATCAATGCAAAAGATTTCGTCGCCACTGACAATGATGTGGAATGTACCTGAGATCTGAAAACTGTCGAATATGAAATCTTCAGTAAAAGTTTAGAGAATTGACTAGAACAGACAGAAGGCAGCGACTGAGAGGATGACGTACCAGATGCCTCCGTGAGTAACAGCAATCTGCGCGTGTCGCATTCAAGAGCAAAGAACTATGTGAATGATCTGTATAGCAACGGAATTTCGCATGGGCTAGGTAACGACTTCTTGTCCGAATTGAACTTAATTAGTGCAATAGTGACTGGTGTAGCAGCTTAAAATAATATACAACTGAGGTTGCATTGCTTTCTCAGCAAAAATCTACAGTATCGCCAGTTTTTATAGTTATCAAAGTAAGATACTTTGTCCTAATTTGTAAAGTATAGGTCATGCTTTTCCGAATAAACGTATTTTGTTTTAAGTAAGTATTTTATACTGCTTAGCACGTTACAATTCAAGTGAAATACTGTACAATAATTCAATGATTGTTACCCTTTTGAAAAAAGGGCAACATGGGTTATTTACCACCCCGCTTTATCGCCCACTTTGAAATATCCTGATGGCGGGCAATAAAGCGGGTTCGACTGTAAGTTGCTTTGACCTTGTATATCATTTGGAAGCCTGTTTTGCGCTCTATCTAACTATATTAAGTTTATCTCAGAAACACATTCTTACATCTTCAAAGAACATTTACTGCGGCATGGACAGAAGACAAATTCGCACAATGCTCTTGTACTAAATTAAAATTGGTAGAAATGAAGTGGAAACAGGCCATAACATCAACAGTGCATTTGGTGCTGGAACTACTAATAACCGTACTGCACAGTAGTGGTTACAGAAATTTCAAAAAGGTCACGAGGCTTGAAGATGAGGAGCGTTTTGGACGGACATTGGAAGAGAGCAACTATCAATTAAGGGCCTGAGTTAAAGCAGATCCGCGCAAAATTATTCGAGATCTTGCTGCTGGATTAGTAGTATCGCATGTGACAGTTCTAAAACCTTTACGGTCGATTGGAATGTCGAAAAAGCAGGATAAGTGGGTGCTGCAGGAGTTGAATGAAAATCAAAGAGATCGTTGTTTTGAGGTATCGCCTGCCCTGCTGCGCAATAAAAGCCGCCCGCTTCTTGACCGGCTTGTGATTTCCTATGAAAATCGGATCTTTTACGGCAAGCGACGACAAACCTCTCAATGGCTGGACCACGATCAAACTTCACAACACACTCCACAGCTAGTTGCGCCAAAAATGGTTATGGCGACTGGTCGTCTGCGGGTAGTCTGATTCATCACAGCTTTCTAAATCCAGACGAAAGCATTACAGTGAAGAAGTATTGTCAACAAACTTTCGAAATGCATTGAAAACCTTAACACAGGTACCCGACACTGGCAAAAAAGGGGGCAATCCTTTTCCATGATAACCTTCGGTCGCACGACGCAAAACAACGCTGCAGAAGCCGCACGAAATGGGATACGAAACTTTGCTTCACCACCATACGCCATTAACTTCTAGCTTACCGTTTAATACTTTTTCATGCGCCTGGATAACTTCTCCCGAGAGGAGTCTTAAAACACAGAAGGCTGAAACAGCCTACGATTTCATCGCAACTAGAATTGCGGAATTGTATTCCTCCGAAATAAATAACTCAGTATGCCGTTGGTATAAGTGCACCAATGCAGATGGCTTTTTTCGAGTAAAAATGTCACTTTATTACAAACGTAATTATCTGTTTAATCTACTCTGTGTGGTCATGGATGTGGAGCAGACTTCCGTAACTGATGACCGCAGCCTAATAATGCACTCACTGACTCTTGTCGGATGATTATTCTGCTCTTTCTCTGGGGAACAAGGCCCTCCCTTTGACAACTAGTGATGAAACAAGTGTACCCTTGATGGCCCGTAACGGTCACACTGGTTGGTGATAATTAAAATAAACATATCTCCTTCCTGCAGAAGTGCAACACTACACCATACCAATCAAACAGAAATTGCTATTACGCCAACGACACAGACTTGGAAACGGCTCTTTTTCTACCCATTTCGAAAAGGTGATAGTGACATTTATTTAGTATTACCATAGAATAAGTGGAGATAATAGAGTCTGGTGACATCCTCTACGTACATATTTGCTGGTGCGGGGGTAATAACGATCCCATGACAAAGCCCTGTTATCTAGTATACAGCCCCGCTATGACGCAGCGGTATTCACTAGACAATGTGCCCAACCGTGAGACTCTAATATCATCGTTGTGTATGACTGCATTAGCTATATCAGCCCCTATGCACATTAGTGAACAGCTAGTGAAAGCTGCTTAAGAACACAGATTGCACTACACCCACTAGATACTCTGTGTGAAAGCGTTTGTTGTGGAGGAAGACTATACTGCATACAGCAAAAAGAATAGGGATATCGGGTCTGCGCATTTTAATACCAAAATCTAATGAAGGTTTCACTAAAATCTCCTATGATGGCGAAAAATTTACCCAACTCGAAGAGTGACCCGGTGTCAAGTATGAGAAAGGATGGACACTACCAGCGAAGACAAAGTTCACACAGCAATGTCTGTCATCAACTTAGTGTTGTGGAATTAGCGGAGCGTAACAAGCGGTTAGAGGAAATCGAATTCCGACTTTACGGCAATAAGAATCAAGAGGTGCGATGAGTTAAGGAATGAGGCAGTACGTGTTGTATGTCAGAAGAGTATCTAAGGGATAGCTGTGAAAACTGTCACGATAAGTAGTAAAGTTCGTGCGGGTGAAGGTTGGGGACAGTTTGTAGCGTATCTGCCTACCTGTATACATTTTTCACGGACATCTTCTTCTCGCGGGTGCCGCCGATTTAACAAGGCACGCCCGAGACTGAGGCAGATGCTGAAGTTCTCTTCACGAGCGTCTATCTCGGCTTTTAAACTGCGATGGTTGTTCATTAAGAGCTCAACTCCTGAGACATCACTGGAAAACAGAAAGATATGAATAAATAAAAAAGATACTGACATCTTTTTCCAGGGGAATTGGAAAGGGTCATGTTGGAGAAACCAAGTGTGGCAACAAAAGGGAAAATATCCCTCAGTAACACGTCCATATGCTTTGATATTCAAGAAAAGTAGTGGGCCAGAAAGTGATGCATGTGCGAGATAAAGCAGCTGGTTTTTACCGACTGGAATTGTACGCTAACCTACAAGAACTCACATCCATGCGGTCGGGATACACCGTCAAAAGATTGTTATACAGACCGCATCACGCCTACGGAAAGGAGAAACTAGCGCTTCGGTCAGCTAATTAGTGGGAAATTACTAGCAAGGGGTAAGTGAAGAACAGTAGTGCGACTGTAAACGCATAGTTTGTCCAGTTTAGCACCCAATTCTTTTCCTCAGAGCTTAGTAAACAAGTTATATATATATATATATATATATATATATATATATATATATATATATATATATATATATATATATATATATATATATATATATATATATATATATATATAACACAACAATATACAATTGATCAATACCTGGGAAAACAGATAGTCAGTGGAAGGGTTAAGAAACTTCAGAAGGTTTATGCGTTATGCGGGCACATATATCAATGCGCGTAATCTAGATCACAGTGGCCGAATCATCGGAGAAGTTTATGAGCTTCTACGCGCTCGTTTGTGTAAAACATTTCTCTGAGACTCGGATATAAAACCCCAAACCGTGATCCACACTGATCAGCGATACCTTTTCATGGCGAGTTTCCGGAAGAACATTATAAACTATAAAGTTGCCAAAATTTGGACATTGCCATGGAATCTCGAGTAAAATCCGAAGTATGATTAACGGCCGGCTAACTATCGACATTTGTTTTCTGGACTGATAAACGCATAGAAACTGAACAATGGCTAGTGACGTGTTCGTTGATACCGCGCAACCCGCGAATTGTATCGAAGACTCAGCGAATCAGGACGTGTCGAAAACCGAGCATTCCGCAGCAATACAGCATGTGCCGATGATCTGCATACACAGTATAGTAAGTCAACAGCCAATACCAAGTTGTGCAGTGACGGATAGGTGCTTGTAAGGGCATCGAGATGCGACATTTATGTGCGCGAGAATACAAAAGGTAAATATGATATTCGTTGCGTGGTACCATGGCACCCATTAGCCTTGGACCGGCTATATTGAATACTAAAATTAGTGAGATAGTGGACAGACATGTGTTGTCATATCCAAATATTATCGGACAAACTGGCAAAAGGTCATTTATTGATGCAAATTTTTAACATATTCCAGCTGCGCAACGCCCCCACTCAGGTGCGATACGCTGCCGAGATCTATAGTCCACAAAGTGGACGTCCAGAAATCTAATGAATTCCGACATCGATTTTGCCTCAATAACTGTCTTGGGTAAGCTGTCCCAAGAATTCGCTTGACGTTCGGAACATAGTGGATGAGCTATCCATCCGGTACTGCGAGCTTGTACCGGTGCATGTAAGTGTTGCTTGGTACGTGCATGTGCAGATGCGACCTAAGCATACGGAACTCATCCAGAGGACATTATCAGGTCCACCGGAAACAGTCGATACGATAAGAGGTACAGCCCCAGTCTTCTGCATCGGTCTTCATACGATTTACCCCGTAAACTGAGGATGAGTCCGGCAGCTACATGCTACAATATTAGTTTTGCACTTCACCACGGGTGCTCGAGCATTGGTCATATAACTGAAAACAAGGCGAGTAGTAACATCTTCAGACCAAACGCAGAATCTGCGTTTGAGCGCTTACAGCATGCGCAATCGTGTTACCTACGGACTTCACATAGCCACGTGAGAGCAAGCCGAGATCCGTCACGGAAGTTGTGGGATGTAGCAGTTGGCCAGTCAGAGTGTCCGTACGCCCGTCATCACTGTTCCCAAGGCTTATATATAACGACATGACTGGGTTGACCGGCAGATCGACTGTGGGGACCACATGGACAGGCGGTCGAGGTAGTGAAAACGTACGTCGCAGTCGTCGGGAGCATCGATTACTCTCCAAATTTTCAGATCGTTTGCAAACAAGGTACAAGGAGACCGAAGAAGCCAAGATACATCGTTGATGTGGATGAAAAACAAAATGGGCCCAAGTACTGCGCTTTGGGGTACCACACTGGTGGAAAGATTACAGTCAGTCAAATGATCATTCACATGTACGCTCCACTGCTGCCCAACAAGGAATTAGCTGATCCGCTGGTGCAGTGAGTCACTAATACCGCACATCCTCAGCTAGTATAAGAAGACCTCATGATTCATATTGTCGAAGGCTTTACTGAAATCAATGTAGATCACGTCGACTGACTTGCAAACACCCATACCCCGTCAACAGCAGCGTGGTGATACATAAGCCGCTTTTCATGAAACCACGTTGTACTGGAGTCAAGAGGTTTTTCAACTCTAGAAGACTTTTCTGTACGATCTTCTCGCGCACCTTGACCAAAACGGAGCTGAAACACATTGGCCGGTAATTGTCCCCCTTCCGTGAGTCAGTACCCAACGAAATCGTCTTCACCACTGTGCATTTCCAGCCGCTCAAGAATGCACCTTCGGACAGTGGTCTGTTGAACAGACCAATTACGGAAGCCAACATGATAGTTGAGCAGGGCTTGAGAATCAACGAGTGAAGCTCGTCAGCGCCGGCAGGTTTCATGCGGTGCATTGGTAATTAGAGCAAGAAAAATCACGTTTTAACAGAATATACTGAATTCAGTAATTTTGCGTTTTCTCCTCAGCTGTTTACAGACAATTTTTGGAAAGGACAGATTACATACAAAGGCAATCAGAATGAAATCTTATCGGTGAAAAGTTAAAGCGGTCGAAAGTCAGTGAGTTCACGTGACCCAGTCGGAGGAAAGACGGCACTAGCCTCACCAGGGTACGACGAGGCTGGTCACAAAGTCCGTTTGCTTGCAGAAACTTGGCTTCAACCGCCGAATCGGCGAGGCCTTAGAGAACTGAAGTAGACAAGGACTGCTTTGTCTGTTGATTGCCCTAAACCCACCACGTGGGTTTTCGCACACAGGGCAGTCAAGTAAGTGGCGTGCAATAGAGCTAGTGGGTAGTGTAGAGTCATTTGCGACAATGTATCGCGGGACGTGCTCGCAATCCTCACTAACAGCCTTCCCACAGTTCTGCCAACGTACTTGCTACCACAACTAGTGTGGAAAAGGTAGATGCATGGAGCGGTAACTTGAGAGTCCGGTCTGCCCAGGTTCGATGTGCACAGCAGCCTCCTGACTTGATGCAATGCCGCTAGCTCAGCCGCGTAATAACACTTCTTAATAGACTGACGAAGACGATGTTGACATCTTCTGTCAGATTGGTCCCCTTTAAACGGCAGCGTTATGAATAGTTTTTTATTTGGAACATGATGATGGTTTATTTTTTGGCTTTAAGTTCGCGTACCGTGCAATAAATCGCTCGGGATATCCATTCTTTTGTAGTGCCGTGGTGAGGTGTTCTTGTTCACATTCGGAGAGCAAATTTGACGAGCTATGGCAAAAGCCATACGGACTAAAGCTCGCCTGTAGTTTATAGGGCAGAAGCTATAAAATTTTAGGTACTGTCCCGTTGCTTTTCCGGACACAGACCGAACGAGGGTGCCGTCTAGCTTTCTCTGTAAGTTAACATGCAGGAAATGGAAGGATCCATCAATAGCTGTTCCAGAGAAAAAAGGTATTCATAACGCTGACATCTAAAGGGGGACCAAGTCGACAGAAGATGTCAACATCGTCTTCGTCAGTCTATTAAGAAGCTAGTGGCATTGCACCAAGTCAGGAGGCTGCTGTGCATATCCAACCTGGGCAGACCGGACTCTCAAGTTACCGCTCCATGCATCTACCTTTTCACCACTACTTGCGGTAGCAAGTACGTTGGCAGAACTGAGAGAAGGCTGTAAGCGAGAAGTACAAAGCAATTCCCGCGATACATGATCGCAAATGGCTCTACACTACCCACTAACTCTGTTACCGATGAATCGGCGGTGGATTCGAGCAACACGTAAGATTCCCAGATCAATTCAGAATTCATGGTCAGAAGTGCGCTACGGTGCTATTTTTACAAAGGGTTAAGGCAAGCAAGTATATACTGACCTGGAATGGAAATAGATGGGTGTTGCTCTTCCCAACGCTGACACCACAACCGCGGTTTCGTCCTGGTTTGAACTCGTCAGGTGGAGATAGCCTGAGCTGGGGTGGGACTCAGAGCCTAGTAGTTCACGTCTGACGCCCTGAACAATATGCTACTGAGATCCGCGAGCAACGCTTGGCACAGCGGAACACAATTCAAAGTAGAATTGAGGGAACACGCTGTGTGGTTGGGTTGCGACTCGCAACCTCTATAGAGACCTCAGTTCACTTTGACGGAAACCTCGGTCATACCGATCTCGAGGATCGTACCTGGAATGGAAATAGATGGGTGTTGCTCTTCCCAGCGCTGGCACACCACAACCGCGGTTTCGTCCTGGTTTGAACTCGTCAGGCGGAGATAGCCTGAGCTGGGGTGGGACTCAGAGCCTAGTAGTTCACGGCTGACGCCCTGAACGATATGTTACTGAGATCCGCGAGCAACACTTGGCACAGCAGAACACAATTCAAAGCAGAATTTCGGGAACACGCTGTGTCCGCCACAAAATGTACAATAGTTTTGTTCTCAAATTAGAACCGGACGTCCAAACAAGACCAAATGCCGGCAACAAGTAACCGAAGTCCAAGAAGTTACACAACCGACTAAGCGATTCAGTCAGACGCGATTTAAAACAAAACGATCAATAGTCCAATCAATCAAGCAGTAAAAACGTCAGCTGATGAGAGTTGGGGGCAGCAAAACAAGGGAATTAGGGGGGACTTGTGGCACGCTTCGGTGGAACCCGACAGACTGTGTTTTGTCTGTTACAAGCTCTATTGCATGCCACTTACGATAAGTCAGAGGTGCTGTCTGCAACCTGAACATTATACGGCGATCAAGGAGTTGAAACAAATGAAGCACGTAATGTTCCTGCAGCCGGATAAGGGATCGGGTATTGTAGTAATGAACAGACCTGACTACATTTCGAAGATGGAGTCCATTCTGGGAGACACTCGGAAGTTCCAGCTAGATAATACACCGGAAAACAACATACTGGTGGAGAAGCAGGTGGCAAGGAAGCTCCAGATTCTCCTGCTACATGGTTACATCAATGAGTCACAGTACAGCCACTTAAAACCGACCGGGACACAGACACCTAGAATGCGAGGCGCTCCCAAGATACACAAAGCAGGATTTCCGCTACGTCCGATTATGTGCATGAACAATTCACCTTACCACAATGTCGCGCGGTGGCTGGCCAAACTATTAGATACGGTGCGTAAACTCATCGCTACGTATTGCCTGAAGGACTCCTTTGAACTGGCTGAGACACTGGAACAATTGTCACTGAGTGCAGAGCTTATGTACTCAATAGATGTGGACTCCTTATTCACAAAAGCAGTCCTTGTCTACTTCAGTTCGCTGCGGTCTCGACGATTCGGCGTTGAAGCCAAGTTTTTGCAAGCAAACGGACTTTGTGACCAGCCTCGTTCTACCTTGGTGAGGCTAGTGCCGTCTTTCCTCCGACTGGGTCACGTGAACTCACTGACTTTCGACCGCTTTAACTTTTCACCGATTTCATTGTGATTGCCTTTGTATGTAATCTGTCCTTTCCACAAATTGTCTGTAAACAGCTGAGAAAACGCAAAATTACTGAATTCAGTATATTTTGTTAAAATGTTTTTTTTCTTGTTCTGTTGAAATCAGTGAAGGGAAATGCTTGTATGAGACTGGTAATTAGATTGCTTTCATCATTCACACTGTAATCTATGATGTCAAGTACGGTAGGAGCTGCGCAAATCGAAACCGATACAAGCACACAGCTATTTGCAAACATGGAAGCGGCGTACCACCAATGCGGATGCACGCTCAGTTATGGACCGACAGTCAGAGCTGCATAACACAGCTACCACATCTGAGCCGCTTCACGTAAGCGAAGATTCTTTTGGGGTTCTTCGCTGCGGCTGCAAGCTGCTCTCCAAACTGCAGAGATTTGTGCATTCGCGCTGTTGCATAAATTCCGCTGTTTAATGTACATATCTGAACCGTAGATAGAACCAAAACGCAGAAATTTATTCCATAGTACGCGTCGCCGTTGGGCTAACTGATCATACTCCTTGTCGAACGAATGGAGCTTCACTAGCCCATCCTTCTAACACTTGAGGGGTTCGAACTAAACGCACAACGATTCTACACGCACTTTTAAGGTAAACTAAGTCTTCAAAAGATGAATCTTGTGAAGACGACCAGTGCACTTCCCTAACAGCTCGAGTGCGACCACCGAGGTCAGTGTTATATAAGTTGTAGGATGACTCCCGTGGACGCGAGTATGGCAGCGGCAGCTCTAGACTGGTTATAATCAGTGAGCGTTCCTTCGCTGCCAGTGGCTCCAAGACCCGAACATCATGCAGAAGCTGTCCGCAGCCAGGCAACATCAGGTTCAGGTATGACGGCGCTGAATGCGGTGCAATGGGTGTGGGCAGGCAGATGTATTGTGCTTCCCTGGTATTGTATTACACATCATATCGGTAAACTCTGCCTCGACCTCCCAATGCCCAGCCGAGTTGGCAATCCGTGCCATACGAAATCTAGGTTCGTTATAGAATGCAAATATGTGATCCCATGGGAATATGAGTGGTAAATGGATGGATGGGCTAATGTTGAGTGTACAAAGCCTAACCAGCTGACAGGATCGAACATATTAAAAGGCACGTTGGTCAGTAATGTGTGACCGAGGACTAATAGCCCGTTTGGTGGTCAGTGATAACAGCAGACCCATACGAAGGTGATAATTTAGACTGTTTTCCTGCAGTCGTGGATTTCAGAAAGACCGGGATTCAATCTGACCCGGGAGAAATTTGGGCTGAGTGTGGAGACCTAATGAGAGAGAAGAAGCTGTTGCTTATGGAAACCTTTGATAATCGTCTTGTTAGATAAGGGGAATGGGGAGGTTCTTAAGTGAAACGGACTCTGCTCTTAATAAATTGTTGCAGCACTTTAAGGGCAGCTTCAGAACCGAGTAAAGAAGTTACGATAAAGAGCACTCATTTCATTGGATGTAACTTCTACCTCCTAAGAATACAGACTAGCGGTGATCCAGAGGGGAAAGTAAGAAGTGTGGTATTCCCCAGAGTAAGTCACTCAAAATGAGTTTCTACGCTCCATGCAAGGACAAAGTGTCGCATGGTGATAGGTTGCGAATGAAGGCAATAATACTGTGATACAGAGGCCGTATTACTTTACTTGAGCCTTTAACTGTTTCCTATTCTCTGGAAAATCTGCTACAACACTTTCATTATTTTAATGCAGATATCCACTTCGGTGGTTGTGATTATATAAAATATGACTATGAAAGCTTGATCATGACGGAAAAAGTATGTTTTGTAAAACCGGGAATAGTCATTAGTTATTTATCTATGCACACCCTCAACTTAAGTGAGCGTGAACCACGGTGCACTGTGAATAAGAACAGTCAACAATCAATCGCTAAATGGTCCACCGGTTCGGAGCCAAAGTGCGTGAGGGCCAGAGTTAATCAACAATAGCAGGCAGTCAAGCGCAACATTTTTGTGCGTCAGACCGAATGAAAAGCACATACGACCGAAGTCGGAACTGGGTTAGTTGCAACGGTACATAACTGCATACAAATACACACACGAACGCAAATACACATTTGTACACACAAATAATGGTGAGCCGAGCGCGACTTGCCAGATATTAAGCGCATGAGAGAACAAAAAGGTTACGAACAAATTGGAATTTCCTTGTAACACTTCAACAGGTAGATAGAAAGGTAATGAAGGCAGAATTTTAAAACAGAAAAAGAAGGAAGTATTTGCCTGCTCTTGCTAGTTAACGACTAAACGTAATCGATAAGAAACCGTGAGTTGGTTTGTTTGGTTGTCAAAAGTCGTGACAACCGTTGTTGTTCACCTGGTGAACAAGGAAAGACAGGAGGAAACATTCACACATTCAACCCTGGCACGTAATTTTAGCCTATAGTTATGCATGCTGTGGAGGTAAGTATGCAAATAATGAATTAGGGAAAAACAACAACGGAAGAACACGAATTCGACCACAGCTTCGGTTCAAGTGCCGATGGGTGGAAGTGTGTCAGAAAGTTTTCTGACCTTGCTCACTAGAAATGGTGCCACGGTTAGAGGGCCAGTGAATATGCGCATGATGTGCGGCAGGCTGACGTACTAGTTGAATAACTTACCGTGGTTTTTCTTTCGAAGCCATTTCGGTGCGCATAATGTCCATCCACATTCGAAGTTCGCGGACCATTGCGAAGAATCGATGGACATCAGCGGCATCCAATAGATGTAATTTTCGTTGTTCCGTGGAGCATTGCAGTTGCCGCCAAGCGTGGAGCACCTCATCGCGACGATCACAGATTAACCGCTCCTTGTCCGCCGCGTACGAAGGCAAAAGGTTGTTAGCCGCTTCGATCAAACTTTCAACCTGGTGAGACGGGAATGGTATACGATAGTGGAAGGTGACTGAATCATATCATCATCATCACCACTATACACGTTAGCTAGAGGGGGGAAACACCTTAGCTAATGTGCCGCAATACATAGAAGAAAAAAGGAAAGAAAATAATGCAATAGGTGCAAGCCAGCTGAGCTACCGGTAACGGATGGACATCGTTCCGGTACACTACCAGCCAGCTACTATGCAGCAAAAAAATTACTATACAAAATTAAACAAGGCTAAATAGTGAGACCGTGGTTGCAGCGGGAGGCTAAGAGGGATGGGGTGGGACAAATAAACTCACAGCACGAACGACCCTGAGGTCGGCTCCGAGTCATGTCAGCAAGTGTATCCAACCAAACGTGTTCATTGTCTTTCGGACCCCAACCTTGGAGTCGAGGCGCTCCAACTGAGGCCAGCTTCGAAGTGACGGCTTTCATTCCTCTCGACCAAATCATCGCTTCGCCGCCACTCCTTTCCTTCCATCCATACACCGCGCAAACAACGCACGTCGCGGGCGTCGGTGGGCTGACATACGTAACATGCTCGTTGCTTACTGGATGTTCCCACCAGATGTGTGCTAAATTGCGAAGGCACCGGTGGTCGAACGTAACTAGCCTCTTCAGGTCCGTTGATCTAAGGGGCGAGGTTTCACGACCGTACAGTAGGGTCGAACGTACCGCTGCATTGTACACTCTACCCTTCAGGGCGAGTGATATCGCGCCGGCACCATAAGTGGCGAACGTTAGCCAAAGCGTCTCGAGCTTTTGCTATACGGTTGGTGATCTCATCTTCAATCCCATGGGCGCTGATACAATTTCCCAGGTAGTTGAATTTTTGTACGACTTGTAGCTGATCCCCACCAACGGTCAGCAAAGCAGGACAACCTTGGAGGAACGCTTTGCACTTCGAGGGTGCAAAGCAAAGCCCGAAGTGACGGACAGCCAGTGCTAACTTGTCCAGTGCCGCTTGGCACATTTGTGAGCTGTCACAGATGAAGGCAATATCGTCAACATAGTCCAAGTCAAGAAGTCGTTCTCCTGGGAGCAGATCCACACCTAAGTCGCGTCCTGTAAACGTGATTTCCATGAATTCATCGATAGCGAAGTTGAAGAGGAAAGGGGACAGCGGGCATCCTTGTCTCACACCGCTGGAGATATTAAAGGGCGACGACAGCTTGCCGTAAGCCCTCACTCTGCCTGAGCTACGCGTGTATAATGATCGGGTAAGAGTTACACATTTCTCAGGCACACATTTCCTGAGTAGACAGCCGCAAAGTGCACGTCCATCGACCGAATCGAATACACCTTTGATATCGAGGAACACGACAACGGTGGGCAGCCAATATATGTGACGGTGCTCCAATAACTGACGCAAAGTGAAGATGTGGTCAATGCAGCCACGACCTCGACGACCCCCGGCTTGCTCCTCACAAATATGGTTTTCACGAGTGCCAGTCAGTCTGTGTAGGATGACAGAGGCAAGCAATTTGGAAGCGATGGAGATCAGACTGATTCCCCTATGGCTGCCGTATTCCGATCATGAGCCTCCCTTGCAAATTGGAACTATGATGGAGCGGCTCCAGTCGGTTGGGACAGTTTCCTGCTCTCGCAGTTTCATTAATAACTCGTATAAATCATTCACATGAGCAGGTCCCCCGAATTTGAAGAGGGCTGGAGGAAGATCAGCTGGTCCAGCGGCTTTATTTAACTTCAACAGTTTGATCTCATGTTCGACTTCTGAGCGAGAGGGTGGATCCAAAGGAACAGCCCACGGAGCAGGGCGATCACTGGTCGGCGGGAAATCTAACAATTCCGACCGATTAAATTGCCTTCCAACGTGCTCAGCCCAACGCTCCAAGTGTTTGGACAAGTTGTACATAGGATGTCCACTCTCGTCACGTATAGTTTCACTAACACTAGGTCTCCTGCTGCCAGTTTTCCGTATCAACCGGAATAACTTATGATGGTTACCAAGGGCAGCGGTCATTTCCATCTCTGTCGCACGATGAGATCACCAGGATTCGCGGTCTCTTTTCAGGCTAGCACGGAGTTTTGCCCGGAGCTCTTTGCGAGTTTCATTGCGTTCGCTTAAAGCCGGAATATGCCGGCGAGCATCAATATGTTCCAGATACTGCGATGAGACCCAATGTCCATGTTGGCGATCGGACTTACCACATGAGGATTTGCCTGCTGCAAGTAAGGCCTGTTGCATATGAGACCAGTGAGTGTTTATCCAACTTGGATGACAGCGTAATTTGATAGGCGTTCAGAACAGCTGGATTCGCCAGTTGGCTGGTGTCAATGCGGTCACAACGTCGTCGTGGGCGTCCGCCAAAGCGCATCTGCAGGTCAGCACATACAAGTGCATGGTCGGTGTCCACATATGTGCTCCAAATCGAGCGACAGTTCTGGACGCAGCCTCTCCAGCGGTAACTGATAGCAATGTGATCGATTTGCGTCCATAGCTGGTTCGAGGCTGGTAGGTGCCAAGTCACCCTCCGGCAGGTGTTGTGTCGGAAATTAGTGATCGCAAGAAATCAGTGAGCATCCTCACACAAATGAAGTAACCGCTTACCGTTATCATTACAGGAGCCTACACCATGTTGGCCGCCCAGATGCAGTTCATCAGTGGATAATTTTCCAACTCGAGCGTTCAGATCCCCAGCCAGCACAACAGTGTCCGAGCTTCTTCTGTGGCTAAGGAGTTCGTTCAGTTGGCGATAGAAGTCGTCTTTTACCGAGTCATCGCTACAGTTTGTCGGTGCATAGGCAGCGATATCGAATAGACACCTGTTAGTCACACGCGACTTCGAAGCTTTGATCGAGCCAGCCAATCTGACCGCACACATCCGGCTACTAATTGGAATCCAATCAACCAGCGCAGCTTCAGCCCGGGGACTCAGGGCAATACCAACACCGGCTTGGCCAGTACTCGAAGCTACATCGTCAGCGGATGGGCGCAATGAGAAAGTGCTGCTAGTGTCACGTGAAGGGGATCGCAGAGTGAGCACAGAGCTCGAGTCATGCAGGCGGGTCTCTGATAAGCAGCAGATATCGATCGAGAGGGTCTCTAATGCTCGGGCAAGTGTCGCCTGTTGACCGACCTGAAGCAATGTGCGTACATTGAGGCATGTCAATCGTAAGGAGGATCAAGGGTTCCAAATGGAAGCCGATGAACTGGGCTTGACCGTTTGCTGGGACATGGGCCTGTTGACAGGGCATGAATGACGCTCCGCGTTCACGTGTGAGTTGAAAGTAGAAGCCGAGCGACTATTGAAGCAAGGTGGGGGAGAGCCAAGAATTGGGGGGGGGGGGTTGAAAATATGGGGGATAAAAGTGAAGCTGGAACGGGACGATAATGATGAAAAAGAGCAAGAGTGGGAATAAGAAGATTGGAAGGCTTGAGCAGCAGCATCCAAACCCCTATCCACCATGCTCAATGGAGCAGATAGGACACCGTTGATTATCCTCTGCGGCGGCCAGAGCATCAGGAAATTGTTTGGGGAAAGATTCATAGGATTGCGTGGGCAGGATACTGTCAGGTTGCCGAGGCCTAGACAGGAGAACGATTGGGGTTCTCAACCAAAGGCTTTGGTTCAAAAACCTGACCGCAAGGTACCGGGCTGGGCGTTGGGCTACAAGGAGTCCATGTTAAGGAATAAGGAGCCATCCTCATTCCAAGCACCAACCTGGAGGACCGGGAGGTTGAGTTTGTCTGGCCTCTAACCATTGACCACTCTGGTATGAGTGGCTCTCTAGGTGCAAAAAGCACCACCCAGCAGAGCTCAATGGATCACTGAAGCGCGCAAACCATCGCACCGCACGGTAAGGTCCAGCCACATTGCGTGAGTGGACCTCGGCTACACAAAGAATACGGCAACCTGTACAATCTTCTTAGTGGGAACAAAACAGTTGGTGGCAAGTGAAGCTAAGAGACGAGAATGAACACAAGCGTATATTAAGTCTATCAGGAAGTGATGTTTTGATTAGATGAGTGGGTGCAATTGCGACCGAGCTAATGCGAGGCAGAGGATGAAACTAGTGGACAAGGGAAATCGAGAAATATACGTAACCAGACGAGTGATAGTGCAGCTCATCCGACGCTATTCCTCGTAAAGTATGGAGTTGGCTCAAGTGGGTTGTTCCCGATAGGCCACCGCGTAACTCGTGGCAGTATATGGGCTGGTTATTGATTCAGATGGAGAAGATTAACAACCAAAATTGGATTCCGAAAAGTTGGGACAAGCTGTTTCAATGATTGCAAACGACTGTACGATAAAGAGAAAGTTGGACCGCTGATTTTGTTAAATTGAGCAGTGTCAGAGAGTAACGGAATATAAAGCCGTGCTACACTTAGTTACAGGTGTGAAGGAATCCGATGTCTGCAACGTCATTATTGAGAACAGACGCAGCAAAATGTGCATGAAACACGCACCGAGGGCAATGGGTTGAAGTAGACTCATGAGATAAACAGACTAAGTGACTGTCGAATGACAGTTATCCGAGAGACGGTGTATTGACAAGCGACGTTGGCTTAAAGTGAGAATAGCAAATGGGAAATGTGGTAACACCATATAGTATAAGGCTGCCAAACGGAGTGATCAAGTTACGACAAATTAAAGCAGAAGAAGAGGGTAGTTCGGCCTCTCACATTGTTTATCAGTTCACCTGCGGTTGGGGTGACATTTACATAGGCAGAACAAACCGTCAGTTAGTTCAGAGGGCAGCTGAACATTTGTCAAAGTGGTTGGGACAAGTGATTAGGCAACAAAATGGGACGGATCTGAGAATTAATCGGAGCCCGGCATCGTCTATCACCAAGCACCTCATGACAACCCGTCATCACGTGAACCCCGAGACAGCGTTCAAAGTGTTATTACGTAACAAAAACCCGATAATGCTGGCAATTAGTAGGGCGTTATTAATTAAGACTCATCAACCTGTGCTATGTGCACAGAAACTCTTGAGGCAATCAATTCGGTTGCAAGGGTCATGACTGTGACGTTTTGGTTGGTACTGCTTATTTTTGCCATGTATATAATTCTTTGTGTGTTTCTGCTCGTATTGTGTTTGCGACTGAAGAGAACAATCGAAATGTTGACATCGCAACCTCTGTCTTCTCTCTGCCTTAACGGAATGGCTGAAGGGGACCCACTGTTTTACGACAAATTAGTTGTGATCAGAAAGGCATCTTTCTTAAAAGAAATGAGGCAGCTGTACCGAGACGAAAATTGAAGGCGATCATCATCCGGCGGTAGCAGCAGTGTCAAACTGGAAGTCTTCTATGTACAAATAGGACGGAGTCCAGTAGGCATCCCAGTTATACACCGACAGAGACGGGAGATGGAGGGGTGTCGCTGTTACTCTTGTTGACACTGACACGCTACAGGAGAGCAGTAGTGAACGCATATACGGTAGCTGGAAGCTAGTTGCTTACCTGGGAGCCCAGCCGAGACAGTTCGTACTCAAAGTTAGCGTGTTTTCGTTGCAAAGCGGCCACAGCCTTAGCATCACGCCCAACTTCCTCCGGAATACTTCCCGCTTTTTCGGTGATACGATCCAAGACATCCTGAAGAACACGAGAAAATAGGAGGATCAACTTGTGGTGAAGATCAAAGAATGAAATATAAAAGATGCAATCACGTTAGGAGTTACTTAAAACACTAGATTTCAACTTTCGAGTGGACAGAGTATGCGGAACCGAGTATACATAGTAAACTAGAAAATTCATCAGTAGTCACCGGCACGCTGAGAATAGGATTGTTTGTTTCACAAGGCTAGGTAAACCAGTTGAAGTGTACATGTCCCGCCGTGCATACAAACTAAGGATAAGGGTTAGATGTAAGGATGTGCGAGGCCCATTGTCACAATCAAACCAGTGTAAATGTGCAAAGCGAAATTGCTTTTAGTCGCTTGCAAAGCCACTGGTGAACAAATAAGCAGAAGGTTAAATGGGAGAAACTGGCTTAAATAGGCATCTGGGTCCACAGTGTGTGGAGGTGATGCTAGGGCTGTTGAGTTTTTCTAAGGATCGGAGCTTCGCAACATCTATCACAAACCCAAGGAAATAGGTGCACGTTAGAACAGAGAGACAATATGTGACGCAATTGCACTTGGGTCAATCAACCAAGCCCAAAATTAAGGTTGGGTTAGGGCACAGTATAGAGTGCATGGAACACTGAAATTCGCCCGACCGTTTTTTATGGATGTCACGTCGAAGCACAATGGGAAAAGAATGAAAGCAGTCACCTGCACCACAATATTCCGTAAAAAAATGCACGATAAAAATGTGAATACAAAGGAGTGAAAAACTAACCTGACATTCGGACAAGAACTTGTGTAAGTCCCATGCGGTTTTGAGCAACTGTATGCGCGTATCGATAAGCTCCAATAAGTCGGCCCAGGCTTCATTGACGCGATCCTTCCAGCCGGCTATCTCGGCAGCTTCCCCATGACCTTGATCGATTAAGGCGTCGCACAACTCATTCGCCGCGCCCACACGATGCTTGCCTAGCTCATTCGTCTCGCGTGCGAACTCAGAGAAGCGCTCCCTGAGCAAGCAACAATGTTCGTAATCTGCGCCCAACTCGTGGCTGCTGGCAACCACAATTCGTTCGGCAATCCAAGCCTAAGGGAGTAGTGGACACGGGAGGCAACGAATGGAAAACTCGTTTACCAGACGAAAGTGCATTAAAAGACGGAAAGTTGACAGAAACCAATATCTGAATGCACAAGAAGGACTAGGCTGAAGTTAAACAGTAGGTTTCCCAGACAAAACCGCAGCAGACAGCGTAAAATTGATTCGAACAGATCGATACCCAAAGCACAACCCAAGTAGACGCGGGGTTCTAATTACCCACTTCTTAGTCAAAAAAGCGTGACGATAAGAGAAAAAGATACCAAAAAAAGTTCGAACAGAACAGATATTTCATTTTTGAGTACTTTTCAGTCTCAGTGGAGGCCAGAAACAATTTTAAGATGTCATACTACTAACCACCATCCAATAAACCACACTTGTAATTGCTTCTAGGATTACGGAATGAGTGGTTAAAGAAGCGATGCTCGATTCTTTTTTTAGAAGAGCACATTCACAGGTTATAATATGGCGTTCCAAAAGCTCGCTCTTGCATAGTGGGCTGGCCGGGACTTTCTGTCACATCTGCGACTGACTCAAGAGATTCCGTTGTAAGCAACCCATTGGGTACGCAAGCAGTTGGGCATGTGCCTCATTAACGGTTGATTACTAAGCGGGAATCATTTTCCTTCACAGATTCATTGCTATCATGGTTTTCGCCCTAATCGTCAGTCCAAGTACAAACGGTTCATTTTGGTGCTCACAACCATCAACCTGCAAATTAGTGGTGCCATACAAGGTAGCGTCCTAGATCAGCTGTTATTCCCCACGCACAATAGTGATGTCTTCGGTATGATTGCACGTCGTGACTTTTTCCGGATGAAAGCAAGGTTTCTTATACCTGCGGCATTAGCAAGATAGCTTCACTGTGGCATTCCATGTCCCGAGTCATAAGGGAGTTTTGTCCATATTTTGAAAAGTTCAGAGATGACAGTATGCACATCAATGGTACTAGTTGCTGACTAGATATCTTAACAGCTCGAGACGAACGCCGCGCGGATCGTGGAGATCTAAGCCTGAAAGTAGAGAAAGACCAAGAGCGCCAAGTTTTGTAGTCAACGCCTTGTTTACTTGAACAGAAAATGGTTGCGAAGAAAGTTTTTTTCGACAGTTCTCGCCAGACAAATACAACTGTGATTTACATTATCGTTCGGAAAAGGAACTATGGTTAGTGTAGCCCAGTTATGCAGTGTCAAGTTTGCGATGTGCTGCGGTCGGTGATCAATTTAGAACACATCGCCAGAGATCGATGAGTCAAAAGCCAGCTATCGGATCTGTGGCTATGGGAGAATAATGCAGTGTACAAGCAAGTCAGTGATTGTCCCACGACTCGAAATTGATGATGCATAGATCCCCTGTACGAATCGCGGCAGTGGGTGAGTAGACGTAACAAATGCCCAATAGATACTGTTTTACAGTGATCTAAAAAATGGTTCGATCATCGCCGCCTAGCAATCACATTTGTATCTCTCCGCTGAGGACACACCTATGCCACGCGATACGCGTGATGACCTAAGAATAATCATGGCCATCATCTTCAGAAGCGTGAATTCTTCAGGCCGAGAGTTAAGCCTCACTCTCATATAGGAGGACGACTTCCACTTAAGTCTTGTGGACGGGACCTCTAGATCCAAGGGGATTTATTTCTGGCACCATATGTGTTGCGAGTTCACGAACGCCGTTTCGAGGTTTGTAATCGCATTCTAACCACTGCAGGTGCAGCTAATAAAATAAGTGAACGGGCCCCCGGCTCCTCGTTGTCAAAAGACTAGCAAGTCGCTCATGGCTCTGCATCAGTGTTCCGCATTTCCAAGGCCAAGGGATGAAATTGCTGCAGAGAGGAGGGATAACACAGCCCAGTGGTTGTCAAAGTGCAAGAGTATATTATCCGAGTAATAAATTTCACTGTTTCTCCTCGTTCGGAAAAACAGTACATGGGACACTTCACGACGGAGTCTATGAGAAAAGCGAAGAGATAAAAAAGGGATGGTTCTGATGAACACTTAGTTGGGGGTGTTCGAGAATTCGCCGTAGACCCCGATGAGGCTTCAGATCTGCGGGTTCAACATCAGATTTCTGTGGACAGTCCAGTGAACGAAGCGGGACGTTAGTGAAACTGAGGAGCAGCTACAATCGGCGCTGCTCTAGCGTCCGTCAGAGAATGAATCTATGCAACCACGACGAGGTCGGAAACTTAACTGCTCTTCTCACATTAGGGATCCACGTTTTTAGTAAGGCCCGGACGATAATAGAGACCAACAACTTTGTCACTATCGTGATCAGTCGAAAGAATCGAGAAGTCACTTGCGGTGGGTGCTCGGTAACTGTACTTTGCACCTAGAGGCCGCGAAGTATACATAAAAGCGCGCCGAGTTCCGTGTTTGCCAATCCGTGAGTGTTTGCTTAGCGACTTGGTTCGATCCAAAGAGTGCTGTCATCCGTGTAGGACCAGCTTGTCAGCCGGTAACATGACGACACTTCTAATCAAGTAGACATTATAGAGCCATCCGATACTATTTTGACCGAAAATTTACAGAGAAAAGATAAAATGAAGTGGCTCAGACACGGTTAACAAGCTGACATTGCTTGCCGACCTGAGTAACAGATACAGAAACCGAAAGTTCCACGGTGAGATGGCAACCGAGACTTAAAGGGCGGTGCGGCTAACAAAGCTAGAGATGATCTACTACTGAGCAACTTGGGAAGACAAAAGTGTCAAAGGACAGAAAACCAAGAAAGAAAAAAAGGATGGTGACGGAGTTCGGTAATTATATATTGCTCTGCAGTTGTTGGAAGCTACTGAACTCTGGCTTTGGAATGTGGTCTGATCCACGATGGAGTGGAATAAATGGAGGCTATGCCTGAAGTCACTGACTTAATGGTCCGACAGATAAGACAATAGTGGATCCAACACAGAAGCGCGGATGCACAATCACAAGCGGATATACGTCAGAGTAGTCCCACAAAACTTGGAAGATTCAGAGAGAAACACGGTCAACTGCAGATGAGTTTTGGCGGCTTTGCACTCCGATGGTCGGGAGCTGCGTGGCTTGGGAAAGGCAACAGCTAACTCTCCCACCACCCGAGATATTGGTACTCGAGCTCTACGCCACTGTTTACATAACCAGGAGGCTGGTGTCTCCCGTGGCTGAAATTAAAACGGGGAAGTTAAAATCTACAGCCTCTGAAGAGAACACTTGGAACGAGTGCACATAACCATAAAACATCGATTTGTCTAGTAGGAGCTGCTTTGAAAGCGCTTCAAGTGCAGCTCAAGGAGGCACGTAAACAATCATATCGCGACGGCACTAACGTACAAGAAACCTTGACATCGACAGATGTATGAGAGAAAGGGATTGTTAGATGAAAGATACATCAATACACGAGCAAGAGCTACAGATAAATGAGGTAAAGAGCTTAAGACAGCTGTGGAGTCCGGGCCAGAAAAGGTATGGCGCAAAACCACAACTAACCTCCAGATCAAGGATCTCACGCAGAAGGTAGTACAATTTGAGAATCTCCTCCAACCTCGCACGTCGTTCCACACAAAGGTCACGGAGACCTGCATACATTTTGTCTACGCGAGCCTGCTTGGCAGCCACAGCCTCAGCTTCAGGATGGCCAGCCTCGAGCATGACACGGCTACGTTCACCGAGATCGCGTATTTCGGAGGCATAATTCTCCACAATTTTTTGCAGTTGCTCGTGCCTTTTCATTGCGTTATTTGCGCCCTGTTCATCCTGGAATAGAAGATAGACGATAGTAAGATAATCTGTACATGCACAGCGGAAGGCAGCAGGAAGGAAAACACAGAACTAGCGTTGCGATGGATGGTGAAGTTTGGTGGGTCTGACAGACTAGAAAAACACACGGATGTAAAGAACGGAAAAGAGTACTACCTTGGCGCGTTCTTCACCCATGAGGTAAAGCTCCTGTTCTCCCATCCATGCCTCCGCTTCACTGGCATCAAACAGGTATTGTTGAGCAACCTCGTTTTCGAGCAGTTTTTGGTGTCTATCCGACACGACGTGTTCCAGTTGACCCCATAGATCCCATAGTTCATCGATCGCCTCACGGAAGCGTTCGCTTCGAGGATGGCCCTCTTGAATCATTTGCTCACCTTCCTACAAAATATGACATTAATAAAACTAAAGCTAAAATTGGGTTTATTAACACGGTGCAGAAAACCTTCGACAGAAGGAAGAACAAATGTGTATCTAGCTCCGGAGGATTCGCGCAGTCTGTTAACATCAACAATCAAGTGCGTCCAGATACGAAGCACCATACAAGAAAAACTTTGGTTGTGCTGTGCCAACATGAGAAAGGAGGTAATGCCTAGTTCATTAGCAGCTCAGTTGATATAGGAATGTTATTTTGGTATGTGTTGCATTAACTAGCAGAGAGAGAGAGAGAGAGAGTATAAAGTACAGGATCGCTGTACATAAAGGCTGCTTAAAAAACAGTTCAACTGCTGAAAGCTGGATAAAAATTTCAAGTGACCTGTTAGAAAGGTCCCCGGAAAAACAATCGAGTCGTTTACGAATCGCAAACTAGGCTATAGCTCAGTGCAAGACGCGTTAGCCAGGACGAGCGGTGAATAGCACACGCAACGGTAGTTGCGTGTAGCACAGGTATCAATGCATACGGTCTCGGCTGATGAATTGGCGCAAGTTTTGGAAACTGCTAGAGAATTATTCCGGTAAGTGACAAAGCTGTGACAGCAGCTCGCAACGCCGGGTACTAGCGCATAAACAGCATGTTAAATTCTGCCCCTAGGCTACGCAAGGGATCATTGTCACGTGATAGTTCACTCAACAAGCCGGAACACCTTTGTAAGTCAAAGCATCGCTGCGCAGTTAGAAAGTGCAAGAGTTACATGGATGAATTTACCTGGCAAACGGTTTCAATCCGAGGACGATGATTCTCTACCTCATTGGATAGCATACGATGACGACGTAAAAGCTGTTGCGCAAGCAAGAGCGAGGTTCCGACTCTATTGGAGTCCTCGATGAGAGCTAGTTTGTCCCTAATCCAATCTTTTTCATCCTCGATATCCCGGAGAAATTGACGGACGCGTTTCTGTTTCAACAGACGATCTCGGCGACTGGCCATAGGAGCTTCAAGTTCTGTTAGTCGGATACGTACCTCTTGGTGAACTTGCTCGAATTCTTTTTGACGCTCGGGATATTGCTCCTTAAGTTTCTCTGCGTGGGTCTGAACGAAGAGCAGAAGCATGTGACAGTGAGAAAGTATGGAAGCTATCGAGAACTGCAACAGTCAAAGACACGAAAGAGTGTCAGCTGATTGCGAATGGATGAAGCATAGCCATCAACCCGGTGGTTATAAATCAGTCACGAGGGCAAGGGTGTAGAGATGCATGTGATTGGAAAGGACGGAGACGAACTGATCCTAAGAAAGCAGTCAGATCCGAAGACAGCATAATTTTGCAACTACATAAGTCAAGCACTATGAGATAATGCGACATCTCATATTGTTGCCTCGATTATGAGAATAGGTCTACGGTACAAACAGTGCATAAGGCGAGCAGCAAGAAAGCATCGGGAACGATGCTACCTCAGGGAACAACGGATCCAACGTAATAAATATGGTTAGGTTCTCAGAATTCACATTGGTGGGACCGCTCACTGCTTTCCATGCTAAAGCGTATCCTACAGTGTGTTGCCATAATGAGAGGAAGCCAAAACCATTTGGGAAATTAACAGCCAGAAGGGCAGGGTAAATACCATAAATACGCTAGCGGTTGGGAGATAACGCATGAGCGGGCGTCTCGGAGGTCAACGTTAACCAATGCATAATTGAATGGCGGACTACTACTACTTTCATTCGACAGTGGAAATGAATAACTAATTGAGGGAATTCGTTGCAGTATCCTCCAAGCTTGATAAGCCTTCACACACTGTATGGTCACTGCATCTTAACAGGACTCGTCAGTAGCGAGCGTCTATCGGTTCTAGCAGGACCGGGACCCATGACCACCAATGGCTTGAGCCACTGACCGGCAGCTTACACCACTAAACCACGGGAGGGTAGAGGACCGTGATGATTTACAAGCGAACTGCGATATAGTACAACTCATCCGCCAATACCATACAAGTTTCGAATGTTGCAAAAGGTAGGGCCGACCTCGAGGATCACGGCTCCCCCTAGCAGCAGCCATGTGCGACATACTATGCAGCTGTTTTGATATATTCATGAGTAAGAGATTCTTGAGATAATCAATCTGGAGTACATTGCAAAAGCTTCACAGGCCCAAAATCACTATCACCCAAACATGGAGAATCGGAGGCTAGCAATCGAGAGGACTGTTTTAAATCACTACGTGCACATGATCGTGTGTTAACAACACAAGCAGTACTAGTTCCATGCACGCACAGCCTTTTCTGTGTAAGGCTTACGAACGGCGGTGCTGTTGCTGAGACAAGTGAACGCGGCGAAAACCTAGTCTATGGTTCCGGAGCCTGAGAAATATATCCAAAACTGCGTGATCCGGAGTTGTGCGATCGTCGCGACGACGAACACTGCATGGATGGAAAAGATATAATCATCTTATCAGGAGCCGACAAGAGGGCGCTGAATTTCAAGCAATGTGTCAACATCAACATAGATCGCGTGAAAGATCCTCGCTAGTGTAACATGTACGTATACGCCTGAGGTCACAGTAATCACATTATAAGGTGACATCTAGGAATAGGTTGAATATGATGGATTGGAGAGGACCTCCTTATGGGACGCTACTACTTATCTGAAGTCTAACGGATTATTTTTCACAATCATGATAATCCTTGTCGCGAACAGAGAATGTTACCGAAGACAAAATGAGGCTGCATACGCAGATGAGATGAGACTGATGGTTGAGAGCAAGGCGCTACACAACTAATAAATCCGTGCTGGTAATGTGAACAACCCTAACGGACCTACCGCCATGTCCTCTAACAAGCGTTGCTTGTTAAGCAGCTCTTGGTCCTTGCGATCTTGGTCTTTCAAATGCTCGTTCAATTCCACGAGGCCGATTTCTTCCGTAACTTCTTCGGTGGTGGTGACGATCTGTGAGCTAACTTCAGTGATCCAGGTCAACATGGATTTGGCAGTTTCATCGAAGAGAGTTTCTGAGGTTAGGCAGCAGGGAAGGAGATTAGTGAGGGTTCTTGTAATGAGTTTATTATAAGGAAAACTTGAGAGAGAAAGCGGGTCTCGGAGAGAGTGACAATGATGCCGCACGACAACGATGAGAGATGAGTTCACCAGAGATATGATAGAAGATGAAATCATCAAAAGAAGGTATGCGTCAAATACCCCAATATTGATTTTATTGATGAGGTCAGGTCTTTTACTTTCTAGCTGCTTAAGTTTTGGAGCGTCATTCTAGTGGTAGATTTTTAGCAACAAAGTGCAAATCATGTGTTTAGTTGATGGTTTAAATAATGTGCATGTAAAACCTAACACCTTAAAAGTAAAAATAACTGCTCTTCCTGCTTGTATCTACTCAGCTAGATGTATAGAAAGCGGAGTCATAAGATATTTGCCAGAAATTAAGTTAAATGGGAAAGGAACGCGCTTGGCCAGCTGCACTCCAATGAAGTACGAGAGAAACTTGGGCGAAATTTTATCAATCAACAAATTAGATTCATAGACAGGTTCGTACCAAGACTGCCAAAAAAGTGTTGCACGGAAGCAAAGTTTCAGAGATCCACCGACTAGGTGGAATTTTCCAGGTGTGGACAAACTCAGATGCTTTGTAACGGTGCATTGGAGGTTAATCCAATAGGCGCCTAAATTACCCACTTCGTGTAGGAGCCAGAAGAGTGGACACTATGTGAGAACACATCATAATGATAGAAATCTAGACAGGTACTCCATACTGACAGAAGTGAGTACGTTAGTAGCCGCTATCCGCTAAAATTAAGCATTCATTCATTCACGACCCGTGAATTCTAATCATTAGAAAGTTGCACAGAACTTGTCTTTGATGGCATCCGGACACACATAGAGTGGATGTGAGAACGCATGTTGGTGAACGACAGCAATTCGCATGTGGATGCCAACGCTGATACTCGGGGACGAGGCAGAGTGATCTAGCCTGGAGCAGGAAGTTGGTATGCACTGCCATCGAATCACAAGCTAATTCGGACTTAAGGAGGGCAGAGCAATCAACAAGCACAACATCTGTGAGTGCAACGGACAGATACCAAGGAAAAATGAGTGGGTCAAGCTCGGTGACAACGGGAAGTGTGCAAAGGAAAAATGGTAGACATACCCCGGTTGGCGTCTGCCATTTTGGCACTTTTGTCGGCTGCGGTAACATTGAGTTCCTCCCATTGTTGCTGCAGAGCCTGGACACGTGGTGCAATTTGAGCTTGGAGAGTTGGATGGGTCTCCGATATTATCCTACCTTCCTGAAGTGGACAACAACGAAAACCAGTTAGTGAGCACCGATCGAAACGTCTAATGTGTTGGCTTCCCATCCCCAGCAATGAAAGCCAGCTTAATAACAAACAACGTCAACGAGAGGTTCGATGCACGAACGAACCGAGCTCCATCAGCGAGAACCAATTTAAATCGCCAAACCTGTGGCCGTAATGGTGGGCTGAAAATGGACCGTAAACTGGAAGACAGCCTAGATAAGCCAGCCTAAGATCAATATGATGTGATAACAAAGATATAAAAGCATTGCTGGACAGGGATGGAACACAGCATAAAGTGGAGCAGTGAAACCACGCGGCCGTGGTAGATACTAGAGTTGATATACAGCAATACAACGGGCAACTGGATTAAGTCAACAAATAACGATAAACCTACCTCGATGACTTTGGAAATTTTGTCTTTGTTGGCATCTAATTCGCCTTCGAAAGCTTTGAATCGACCGTACAAAAGAGCGATGTTTCTGGCCAGAGCAGTAGGCTGCTCTGTGACCGCGACTGCTTTTTCGGCCAGCCATTCTTCAACCTAATGAACACAAGCGATGAGGCAGGATAATACGCACTTACATCATCCACCTCCTGGCAAAACTCCTGGAGGCGCAACTGTTCCTCGAGAACCTCTTTGCGCTCAGCAGCTCGTCGCTTGAGAGAATCCCGTCTAAAGAAATCAGCAGAACATACAGCCGTAAAAAGTTGTGACATCGAACAATTCTGGCGGAGATTGTCAGCAGAGGATAATCGGCAAGTGAGTAGTGTCCATGTATCAAACGTGAGTTTAGTTTAAGTCCATTGAATAAAAGGGTGAAAAGAAGAATAGGTATACTGGTTTGACTGTCTCAGTGATGTGTGTGATTAAGGGAACAAAAATAGAAGCAGCCAGTAGGAGGTGATATTGAGTAGCAACAAACAAGATCGAGGCAAATGCACTTACCCAATCATAGTGTATAAAGGAAACTGAAAAACTTAACGCATAAGAACAGGAAAGTTGGATGTGTGGCGATCCTGCGAGGTCATGAAGAGAAGCAAACGAACGGAAACTCGTATCACAGAGAGCAGAAGATAGCCGTCGTCCTCGGTTATAATTGAGTCAATCATCATCATCATTACACGTTAGCTGGAGGCGAGAAACACTACAGCCAATGTGCCGCAAGATGCTCGACTAACGGACAGAACGGCAATGCAAATACATAGAGGTGACGAGCACGGACTTACCGGCCTTTAAGTTGCTCACATTTGGCCTGCATTTTTTCCACGGGGAATATTTTCCGTTCAATCAAGTTATGACCATGAGCGAGGACATTATCAATACGGTCGTCGTTCAAAAGGATCGAGGTCTGTAGTGCTTCCCATTGGCGCAAGTTCTCTTGAGCAGCCTCCAACGAAGCCTACATAGTTCAAAAATAGGTTGTGATACGTCATAAGTGACTAAACACATATCTGTGGGAGTGAGTGAAGACAAATACGATTGGGTAGAACAACGCGACATGGATATGAAAGAGTTACACGTACAGGAGCTTCTTCTTTTGCAACCGCCTGTTCGAGCTTGGCGAGGATAACGTCTGCTTGCAGGGCGTCTCGGAAGAAGGTCTAGATAAGAAAAGGTAGTATCTTAGACGTATTATGTTTGAATGACTTACGTGAGCTTCGACATTCTGAGCTAATATTTCACCGCGCTTGTTATACATGTCATGTAGCGCATCCCAATCTTCCTCAATAAGGTCGAGTCGCTTGGCAAGATATTCGTACTGCGCATCGGTTTGACCGGCCGTCTCGCGGCGTCCGAATTCCATGAGACGGCGGAAATCGGCTTCATAGCCGTCAATCTCAGCGCCCAGTTGCCTATGTTTATCAACCAAAGCTTCTGCCTCCTGAAGATCGTTTGGTATATCCTCCGAAGCAACATCGGTTTGTGTACGTCGGAGCCACATTTGGAAGTGATCCAAATCTTGCAAAAACCGTTGCAACTCACTTGAATAGTTAAGCCGGTCGTCCCTTTCCTTTAACATTTCCTTTAAGTCATTCCAGAATTCATGAATCTTTTGCCTTTCAGATTCCACGACTGGTCGATACTCTGGTTTTGCTTCCCGAAGCTCATCAGCCTGGCCATCCAGGTGTTCTACTTTAGCCTCGATAGCTTGCAGGTCCCGTTGCAGCCCACCCAGGCGCCGCTGCAGCTGCATAATACCGCTAAGATCATTACCCAGTTCGTCGGTGGATTCGACTAACTTTGCTTTCTCCTTTATCCAATTCGCAGTTTCCGTGCTTTCGACCAAAAATTGGTTATATTGGTACTCTAAGTCAAGCATACGTTTTCTGCGATCTGCGAGGTCCGCAAGATCGTTCCAAGAAGCATTGAGCACATCCTGATGTTCCAGTATCTTTGATCCATCAGGATGATCAGTACCCAGCATGCTCTGGGATAACTTGTTAACAGTTTCGACCTTTTCAGCGTTCGCGGCCAGTTCTTTCTCAAAACACTCGAAGCGATGCCGGAGGACTTCTAGCTCAATTTCGTCGCTTGGAACTAACGTTGTAAGCAATTTCTCCTTCTCCGTTATCCACATTCGAACGGTATCAGAAACATCAAAGAGTCTGTACATCGACAAAGCATCCAACAATCTCTGTTGTCGCAGCTTTGCCAGTTCCAAGACAACGTTGTAATGCTGATCGACAGCTCCCAGACGACTGGCGATCGTGGCTGCATCACAATCGGGATAATCCGAAACGACACCCGCCTGTTGATGCAGCTGGTCGATGGACTTCTGATATTCATTCAAACTGCTGATAACTTCCTGGTTGTTTTTAAGCAGTGATTCCGTAGTTGCAAGCTTGAGACCAACATCTTCATTACTAACATTGCGTTGTTGTTCAGACAACCAGACGTCAACGTCGTCGCAATCAGCCATCAACTGGAAGAACTCTTCTGACTCGATCAGACGCTGTTTGCGCTCGGCAGTTTGATCAACCAGCTGATCCCATAGCTGATTCATTTCCAAGATACGCTGGGCGATCATATCCTTTCCTGCGTTGCCATCTTCAATCAGGCTGTCCCCATTCTTCAAGCCATCTTGCAAAACGCCGTGATGCACTTTGCACTCCTCTTCCAACGCCTTATGCTTCCTCAGCAAACGGCCAACAGAACTGAGATCATGTCCAAGATCGGGACTCGACATGAGTTGGCTTTTTTCTTTGATCCATTCCTTCTCATCTTCCATGTCCCAGAAGAACTGCCACATTTTCTTGGAATCCTGTAGACCTTGAAGCCGACTGTCCTTTAGATCATGAAGCTCTTCATAGGCTGCTCGTAATTGCCGACATCGTTCTTCAACGACTTCTGGTTCTATCGGTTTATAAGAACCGATCTCTTGAGGGAAGCTGCAAGTTATGAACTGATCAGCCTGTCGGAAAACCTGATCCATGCGCCCACCCAGAACACGTATATCAGACTCAATTAAGGCGTGCTTCTGTATCAGATCTTCGACACCCATGAGATGCTTTCCGTAATCAACGGACCGTAGCCGACCCTTGATCTCGTCAATCCAGTCCATCAGATAAGTCATCTCTTGGAAGACATGTTGTAACTGCAAGCTTATATCCAACCGATGACGCCGAAGAGATAACGAGCCAAGTAGATTGCTCCATAGGGTCAATACGTTGTCTCTGCGCAGCTGAATGCGTTCGTGATCGTGATAGTTTTCGCGCTCCAGTTGCTCGGCAACATTGACCATGGCATTCACGCGCTCTTGGTAGGCGTAAATGTCAGTTTCAATAGCCTCGTGTTTCTTTGTGGCAGCTTCAACAGCTGCCAGATCTTGGCCGAAATTATCTTGTGCAACCAAACGTTGGTTATCTGTTAGCCAAGCCTCCCTTAAGCCGGCCTTTCTGTCGAAGCGCGATGCCAGTTGCTCTAATTTTTCCTGTCGAATCAGTTCGTCACGCAGTGCCAGCTCTCTCATGTGCTCTGCCCGTTCAAGCTGTTCCCAGGCTCGATTAATGTCCGCAATCAATTTACCCTCAGGTGGATTGTAAGAAGCTTGGTTGTTCGCACGCAACTTGCTCCTGATGGTAAATAACAACACTTCGAGACCACCTTTTTCATCGAATTTGGGTGGCTTCTCAATGGTTCGATATGTGTTGAAGCCAGCTAACTGATGCTGGACTCCGGACAGAGAGTTTGAAAAGGTGCGGTTGTTGAGCAACTCAATAGTCTTTTCAATCCATTCCAGCAGGTTGGAGGTGAGCTGTTCGTACTGGCATATCATGTCTTCCGTCTCAATGGCTTGGTTTATAACCTTACCGATTCGCTTCGAGTGAACCGTGTCCGCTTTCATTTTATTGAAATAGTGATAATAGGTCACCACGTAGGTGATGATAGACTTCTCATCTGGCTGCTCGACACATACATCGGAGGGATCAAGTAAGGGTGTGAGATGCAACTCCTCTTCGGCCACGTTGAAAGCATTAGTCAGGTTCTTTATGGGTTCGGATTTAACCAAAGCAGAGTAGTTGATCAAGTCAGGTCTGTGCTTATGAATCAGTGCGTTGAATGCTAAACCATCGCGCCAGCTAGTAGTAAAGTTACGCACATTGACATTGTGGTAACCTGCTGTTTTCATTTGACACCACAAAAGCAGAGCGTCCTTTGCGCAGCGTGTTTCACTCGTCAGATACTCTTCCACGATTATGTCCTGAATCTGGAAACGAAGAATGATGGTCCAAATTAAGCCCAATGTGAGCCGTGGACTCCCATCAACAATATCATGAGCTCCAACATTCTCTAAGTGGACGTGCTGATCGCACAAAAAATTTAAGGATTTGTCGACATTCTCCAGGCAGTGAATGCGCATTTTCCCCCTCGTAGGCTGTGGGAGACGTTCACCAGAGAGAATTTCCAGTAATTTCAGCAACATTTTCCCATCACGCAAATCCAGGTACAGATCCTCGATGCTGCATGAGACAACTGACAGGTGTGAGTTTATCCATTTGGTGAAAGTTTTCTTCTGCACTATTTCTCGCTCGTCTAAAAACGAGTAAAATTAAGTTACAACAAGTACCTGCGAGTGCCTTAATGCGTGACCTCTCATAAAGCTTTGCAGTGCTATTGCCGCTTTCAAAATCATCTTCGTCCGAGGTGTAATTAGCTTTGGAAATACTATTAGGTTCCCAATGCAGATTCTGGTGAACTGCTTGGATCTCCATGGCTAAAACGTGTGAATGAAGAAAATAAGTAGGGAGTCACAAGGAGTCAGTGCGATGAACATCAATCCTGGTTAACACGAATAGTCGTCACATAGTGACCAGCACACCAGGTGGAGTCATCAGGATAAGAATACAGCCAATTAGGTTGTATAAATCGAACCAGATAGTGGTTAAAAACGCCCCACCTATGACAGACGGTCGAAATCCTCAATAATATGGGACAGCACAAAATGAGGAGTTCGACCTGGAGTAACACAACTGAAATGATTGCGGGTAGAACTTTGAAAATTAGATCGATGAAAAAATAGGGTCCCAGAGGCGTATAGCCAGACGAAAATGCAAGAGAAGCTGGTACCTGACTCCTTACTGTCATCATTATCTAGATTTCCGGTGGTTTGTTCTAGTGAAAAGGAAAACAACAATGTGATACCCAACAGGCGCACTAGTTGCCAACAAAACAAGTGGGAGACGGATCCTAACTTGCATGTAGCCAACGGAAATGAGGGCCCACTAAGTTGAACGAATCAACAACACCACACACAATGGTGTATCATTATTACCGCCGACGCTTGGCATTGTCCACTACAAAGACTGCGATGAGAATAGATTTACAGCATGTACAATACATGTGGGCCGATCCACGTAATCCAGCCATTACTAGCGTTGTTCTCTGACGCATTTTGTGTTACTATACAAAACACGGGCATCTGTAAGGCTTGTCCGGTGATCCAATCAGTAATTTGTGTTGGACAGAAAATGCGCGCAAGCATGCGCTTTGCGTTTGGCGCGCGTAAAATCGTGTGCGGACCATGGATTCTGCCACACCCATGCAACAGCTACCCGACCCCAAATACTTCGCTTGCAAGGTCGTCGAGAGATGAAGCACAGTACGCAGTTGTACGATCGATAGATTTCCCACGCTGGACCGCAGTAAGGTTGCTTTGCGGTGAGTGCGGACGGTCATGTCTAAAGGTAGACGAAGTGGCAGTGAACGGTCGTTAGCCATCGTTGTGCCTTGCAATGTGAAACGAAACAACCATGCAAACTGCGAGCGGCAGTGGATCAGTATCGGGTGGACTGTGGTAGAACTGGGATATAGCAATGAAGTTACTGACGAAACACAGTTATGGCCAGCGGTCTGGTAGCCTGAAAACGAGCTTCCAACAAAAGCACTACTTTCAATTAAGCCTTTCAAATACGATTTTGAAGCGTCCGTAGCACAGAGAGCTCTTAGAACTCGGTATGCCCCGACACACTAATGGTATCATTCACCCGTGGGCCAATTTAGTGTGTAATTCATTTGTAATCGAGGAGAAATATTTTTACAGAAGCGAAGTTAAACGATCACATGTATCGGTGAAGATGTTCATGTGTCCAATTCATTCAATCATTAATTATGCACGTTAGCTAGAGGTGGAAAACACCGCAGCTATCGTGCCGCCATACATGAGAAAAGAAAAAATGCAACGGAGGCACGCCGGCTGAGTCACTAGTAATGAATGGACGTCGTTCCAGAGAGCTAACAGCCAACTATTGTGCCGAAAAAAGAAGTATTATATTATGCATATGAATTGAGATCGTGGTTGGAGGGGGCTAAGCGAGAGGAAGAGGGACAAAAAACTCAACACGAACGCCACTGAGGTCGGCTCCTAGAAACATCAACAACTGTATCCAGACAAACGTGTTCGTCGTCTTTCGGATCCCAACCAGAGAGCCGAGAGGCTAAAACGGAGGCCAACTTCGACATAACGGCCTTCATTCTTCTTGGCTAAGTCATAACTTGGCCAGCTCTCCTTTCATCCACAATCCTGGCGTGCAAACAACGCACGTCGCGAAAAGCAAGGCGCTGGCATGCGCAACAGGTGGCCAGCCATCGGAGCCTGGTGCATGATATAACGGTGCTGAGCTGTTCACTACTTTCTGTGTCATAAATGATGCGTAGAACACGCTCATTACTCACACGGCGTTCCCACTAGATATGAGCCAAACTGCGAAGGCACCGGTGGGCGAACGCAACTAACCTCCTTATGTCTGCTGATCTAATGGGCCAGGTTTCACAACTGTACAGCAGGGCCAGACGCATGGCTGCATTGTACACTCAAAACTTAAGGGAGAGTGATGTCGCGCCGGCGCCATAGATGACGACGGTTAGCAAAAGCGCCACGAGCTTTCGCTCACGGTTTGTGATCTCGTCTTCAATTCAAACGGCGCTGATACAACTACCTAGGTAATCGAATATTGGAACGGATTCCAGCTGATCCACACCAAGGGTCAGCGTAGAAGGTAGCCTTCGCCAATCTTGGAGGAAAACTTTGCACTTCGAGGGAGCAAAGCGTAGCGCGAAACGGCAGACAACCAGTGCTAATTTGTCTAGTGCTGTTTGGCACGTTTGTGAGCTGTCACAGACATAGGGTAATATCGTCAGCATATTCCAAGTCAGGAAATTGTTCACTTGGAAGCAGTTTCACACCTACTAAGTCGTGTCACATGAATGCAATCTCCATGACTTCATCAACAGCGAAGTTGGACAGTAAAGGTGACAGCGAACATCCTTGTTTTACACCGCTGGAGATTTGCCGTAAGCCCTCACTTTGCCAGGGGTACGTGCGTAAAGCTCTCGGATAATATTTACATATTTCACGGGCACAACTTTACTGAGTAGACAGTCCCAAAGGGTACATCGATCCACCGAATCGAAGGCCGCTTTGATGTCGAGGAACACGACTACAATAGGCCGCCAATACATGTGACGGTGCACCAACAATTGACGCAAGGTGAATATATGATCGATGCAGCCCCGATCTCGACGAAACCCGGCTTGTTTTTCACGAACATGACCTTCCCGAGCGCTAGTCAATCTGTGAAGGGTGACAGATGTAAGCAATTTGGAGGCGATGGAGATCAGACTGATTCCTCTTTGATTGCCACATTACGAATGTGAGCCTCCCTTGAAGATCGGGACAATAACGGGGCGGCTCCAGTCAGTTGGGACAGCTTTCTGCTCCCACAGTTTCACCAGTAACTCATGTAAAGCGTCAACAAGAGCATGGCCCCCGAATTTGAAGAGCTGGAGAAAGATCATTTTATCTTGCGGCTTTGTTCAACTTCAGCAGTCTGCTCTCATCTTCGACTTCTGCGCCTGAGGGCGGATCCAAAGGGGCAGTCCAGGAAGCAGGGCAATCACTGGCCGGTGAGGAATCTAACAATTCCGGCCGATTAAATTGCCTTTCGAAATGCTCAACCCAACACTCCAAACGTTTTGACAAATTGTCGATGGTCTGTCCACTCTCGTGATAATTGTTTCACAAACACCAAGTCTTCTGTTGCCCATTTCCCGTATCAGACGGAATAACTTCCGATGATCATCAAGAGCAGCAGCCACTTCCATTTTTTAAACAAGATGAGACCAACAGGATTCGATGTCTCTTCAGGCTAGCACGCAGTTTTGCCCTGATGTCTTTGCGAGTCTCGTGTTCGCTTCCAGCCGGAATGTGCCGGCGAGCATCAATAAGTTCCAGAGATTACGAAGAGATTCAATGCCTATTTTGGCTAGTGGATTTTCCACATGATTATGTAGCTGCCTCTAATAAGGTCTGGTGAACATGCGACCAGTGACTTTCAACTGTATTTAGTGAGCGCTTGCTCAACCCGAACGCCTGCGCACTTCGATACTCATTCAGAACATCTGCCTCGCCAGTTGGCTTGTGTCTAAGTGCTCAGAGGATCGTCGAGGGCGACCGCCAAAACGCACCAAAAGATCCGCACATACAATTGCCTGGTCATTGTTCATACACGTGCTCCAAATCGAGCAACAATTTTAGACGCAGTCTCTCCAGCGATAACTGCGCAATGTGGGTAGATCTGCACCCATGGCTGGTCTGAGGCAGGCGCGTGCCATGTCATATTCCGGCAGATGTTGTGTCGGAAGTTAGTGCTCGCAAGAAATAAGCGAGTATCTTCATACAAATGAAGTAGTTGCTCACCGTTATCATTACGGGAACCTACACCATTTGGCCTCCCAGATACAGCTCATCGGTGGACAGTTTTCCAACTTGAGCGTTCAGATCCTCAGCCAGCAGTACAGTGTACGTGCTTCTTCCGTGGCGAAGGAGTTCGTTCAATAATCGACAGAAGTCGTCTTTTACTGGGTCGTCGCTGCCGTATGTGTTCACGCATGTAACCACGACAGACACTCATTAGCCCCGCGCGACTTCGAAGCTCTGATCGAGCCAGCCAGTCGGACCGCACACATCCGGCTACTGAATGGGATCCAATCAACCAGAGCAGCTTCATCCCGGGAACTCAGAGCAATGCCAACACCGGCTTGGCTAGTATACGAAGCTGCATCGTCTTCGTATAGGCGCAACGAGGACATTGCTGGTGTCACCTGAAGAGGATAGCAGAGCGAACAGAGCTCATGCTGCAGGCAAGTTTCCGATAGGCAGCAGATATCGATCGAGAGGGTCCCTAATGTTCCGGCAAGTGCTGCCTGTTGACCGATCGGCATTAATGTGCGTACGTTGGGGCATGCCAATCTGAGGGAGGATCAAGAGCTCTAAATAGAAGCCAATGAACTGGGCTACACAGCTTGGTTAGACGGGCTTGTCGATAGCGCATGAGTGACGCTCCGCGTTTGCAAGTGGGTCGAAAATAGAAGATAAACACTTATCAAAGCAAGGTGGGGGAGGACCAAGGATTGGGGGATGGAAATGAGGGGATGAAAGTGAAGTTGGATAAGGATGAAAAAACGTAAAAGGAAAAATTAGAAGACGGACAGGCTCTAACAGTAGCATTCAAACCTTTATCCACCCTGCTCGACGCAGTAGACAGGGCGCCGTTTATCGTCCTCTGCGACGGCCTGAGCATCAAGAAATGGTTTAAAGAAGTCATAGTTGTATTGCGTGGGCAGGATACTGTCAGGTTGCCCAGGCCTAGACAGGAGAACGATTAGGGTTCTCAACCCAAGTCTTTGGTTCAAAAACCTGACCGCAAGGCACCGAGT